ATTACTACTTCTACTACTAGTTCCACTACTGATTCCACTACTACTGCTTCTACTACTGCTTTTACTACTACTCTTACTACTACTACTACTACTTCTACTACTACTACTTTTACTACAGCTTTTTCCTACATATACTACTACTACTTCTACTACTGTTTTTTTTTCTACTACTGTTTTTACTACTACTCTTACTACCAGTACTTTTACTACCACTACTTCTACTACTACTACTTTTACTACCACTACTTCTACTACTACTACTTTTACTACTGTTTTTTCCTACATCTACTACTTCTACTTCTAATACTACTTTAAGTACTACTACTTCTACTACTACTTCTTTTACTTCTGCTTTTTCCTACATCTACTACTACTATTTCTACTAAAATTTATAGTTTCACCGATATGCACTCTCGTCTCTCTTGTGAAACTGGATATACCCCACTACGCCCTATCTTCTGTGAAGAAAACCACAGACGAAAAGTGTGAAAACTAATAAGAACTAAAAGACAAAGTAACACTCCACTGTTAGACCAACGATGTGCAGACAAACTTGAAAGTTCTCAACTGGCTCTAGATTGGAGGCATTGGAGGGGCAACTGGCTGCAATTAACAGCCCAGCCGAGAGCTAGAAACAGCTCTGTGTCAGTGGCTCTGGAACAGGTTGGCTGGCGCAGCATTTTGTAACTTTGGCTGCCAGTTAGCGTATGAACAACGCGTTAGCCGCAAGTGCAGGAAATGTGTATCAACAACAGAGCAAGGCTTGGGCCTCCAGCTGCACCTTTGCTGCTACCCATTGTGCTGCTCTTGGCCAGCTTAGGTGTTTGCCAGGGCGATGTAATGAAAGTCGGCGAGGGCATTAGCTTGCCAGCGACTGGACCGTTGCTGAATGTGGAGAATGCAGGCAGCTCCGATTTGGAGCAACTCATCGAGGCGAAACTGAACGAATCAGCCAGCAGTCGAACAATGCAAACACAAGAGCTACTCTCGAGGAAGCGACGCTACTTGGTATTTCCGGAGGGCAGTTCCTTTCAAATGGGTAAGTCTCTGCCGTTTTCATTGCCCCCAAGCGATGCAATTTACATGCTTCATTTGTTTCGTTCCGTTCCGTCCGCAGTGTTCGATGAAATCATCTGTGTGGTGGACTACACGAACTATCTGGTGCTGGGTATAACCGTTGCGTTGGCCTGGGAATTGCCCAGCAAGCCGCCCAGTGAAGCCATTGAGGATATATTGAACAAGCTCGAAGATGGCACAATAGATGTTAGTCGCAACGATACCGTGTCCAACATAACCTACGTAGATGATACCCAAAAGGACACTGAGCAAAACAGTAACAATAACAACAACGCAAACTACAAGCCCAACTACATCAACTTGTCGAATGGGGCAGCTGGCAGCAGCAGCGGGAGCAGCAGCGGTCATAATTCCTACTATAGCAACTCACCTGTGTTTCGCACACCCATGCATCCCACCTATCGGTACTCGGACAGCTTTTACCGACGACCCTCAGAGCCGGCCAGACGTAAGGATAATCACTACTACTACAGCCGTCCGGTGAGCAGCATGCGCAATCCCTTCCAGAGCTACTCCCAGCCCTACAGCCGGGCACCGACCACACGCTATCCGTACTGGGCTCTCGCATCGCAGTAAGTTAATACATACATACACACAGCACTCTCTGTTAATCCCTTATTGAAAGTCTAAGGAATACGCTACGCCATCGGAATAGCTACTATAGTGCAGCCAATGGTCAGCGTCAGCGAAATGGCTATTATCAACCGGCTGAGTCCGCGCATAAGCCCAGGTCGGAGCCACGACGTCATCACCAAATCTATCCGGTTTATGGAAAACGCAGCTTGCCAGACGCAGCTAATCCGCACCATCGTCACCGACGCAGTGGAGTTGCCAGCGTAGCCGACTCTGAACTAACGCGCATGGAAAACATTCAGATCAAATATCATCGCAGCAGCCGGCAGACCTTGTACGGGAGGATCGAAAAATATCTGGATAAGTAAGCGAGCGATGATAAACACAATATTGAAAGCAACATAAAAGAGGTTCGCTCTAAATATTTCCCCAATCTGCAGACGAGGTCACGACGGACATCAGTGCGTGTTGCGTACTCTCTGCGAGACTGGTCAGAAGTCCCATGAGCAGGAGCCCGGCAGCTTTGTCGGCGAACTGCTACGCGCGGTATTTACCATTCCAGAGGCACTGGACCACGAGCCTGTGGCCTACCGGGACACTCGCTATGACAAGGCCCACGCTCATGACGGCGACTGCGCGGCTCTCTATCCCAAGTGCAAGATGTCCATCTGGGATGCACCCTTTGTCCAATAAATGGCACACAAATTTTGCTACACTTTTGTTTTATTCACTGACCCCATTTGGCGTCTAGAAGCCAGCCCAATAGATTTAATTTACAGCCATGCTTAAAGTGCTTGTCACAATCCTCTGCAGTCATGCGCATAATGCGACTATAGTCATCCTCCACGCCCGATATTGTGGGAAGTCTAAATGGAATTAGAGTTATAAATGAGATGTGTAAGATATATCCACTATTGACTCACGTAAAGATCACGCGAACTATGTCCTGCAGCATGGAATACCCAGGGGGCAAAAGCAAACGCTTGCTATCGCAGATCGCGCGCAGTATACAGGCCTTGGTTTCGATGCCCAGGCTGAAAGTTAACACATACTACAGTCGAAAAAAGCTCTGCACATCCGTCCTGCCTCTCTCTCTCTCACTTACTGCTTGCCAAAGGCTCCAAAGTTCTCAAACAACTGCCGACGATCACGGTGTCCATGATAATCCTGCCAATCCCTGGCGTGCTCCAGATCGGGATAGTGAGTAGGCTTATAGGGCGTCATATCCGGATCGTATAGGTCCTCATCGGGCTCCTCTTGCAGCTGCGATTCAGCCGATCTGTACCAACGCTTGCCATAGTTGCTCCAAGCCGGCGATTGTGTTGTCCACTTACTCCATCTACCCGGCTGGCCATATTTCTCATACGGCCTTGCTGGCGTCCAGTTTTTATAATGTTCTCCATACTTGGACCACTGCTTCCACTTGGCTGGATCAGCATAGCTCGGCACTGGGGGCCTGTGGTCAATGCGTTGATGTAGCCTTACTGGGGTCGGTTTCTTGATAGGCGTTGCCTTGAATCTCCAGTCCGTACCAGCGATCCACACATAAGTTGGCTCTGTGCTTGTTTTTGGCACAGGCGTTGTTGTCGTTCGCGGTCGGAAACGCTTTGGATAGACATCCGCACGACTCGTTGGCACTGGATAGTAAACCGCCTCCTCAAGGTTCATGCTGACTCCCCTCGGAAAGCGAGAGAGCAGACCTGCGCTTATTGAGCAGGTGAATTTCAAATTCGAGCCCATTGGAAATAATACGAAACGTTTTTGACGCGAAAAGACTCGATCGACAGCATTATGCAGCTCCGTTCTATTTGGCTCGCCTAAGACCAACAGCACAAGAGCCAGCTGCGCGAGCAAGTGAATCCAGAGACTGTATCGCATGACTGATCTGCACTGATTGAGACGTAAACGAGGCAGAGCCTCAGCACGATGTGGGAAGCAATCAATTCACCTGGAAATTACTATAATCAGCTCTGATTGAGTGTCAATTGTTGAGCAAAGAAAAGCAACAATAGATGAGCCCAAATAAATAAATAGCCAAAAGCCGCCAGAAACCCTTAAGACATTAGGTAAACATAATAGCAAAGTGGAAATTATTATGAGAGTTAGAAATAAAGCTGTCACAGAAAAGTACTTTGATATTTTAGAATAAGCTTTTCTTAGACATCATATTCATATCATACATATAATCTTTTATTATTATTTTATTTTATTATAAAAAGTATCAAAAGATATATATACCCTACAAAATCTTACAACAAATAAAAATAGTACCATAAAAATAGTAGCATAAATCCAAAGCCTATCTTAATTTCCAAAAGTCAATTATGCTTATATGGTTGAGTTCATTGAATTGAAAAAATGTTGTTATAAGAGCTAAATTCAGGCCCCATTTACAATGGAGTACTTTTTCTAAGCCAATTTTCAGAGAGTAAAATCATTGTTATTTAATAATTTATTTTAATCTATTAATATCTATTTATTATTCAAATAATTCCAAACTGATTACTATACAAATATTTTAAATTTCTTATCAAATATAAAATACTTCTTAATCACGAACAGCATTCATTTGATCCATTCTACCGCTCAATAGCCAAATCAATAGGCTCATATTGCACTTGGTTTTCAGCTCCCGAGCGCAGGCATCAGCGTCCTTTTTCATGATACGTGAGTAATCATCGTCCAGTCCATCTATGCGGGGCATGCTGTAAGCAAGTGAATCAATAATAAAATCGAATAGCGACAGCCTTCGTCACACTCACGTGAACACCAAGCGCAGCATATCCTGCAGCATGGAATAGCCTGGTGGCAACAGGAGACGCTTGGAGTCGCATATGGTGCGCAGTATGCAGGACTTGACATCGATGCCAAAGCTGAAAAGTTCAGTTTATTATATGCAGCTCAAGTGCTTCACTCACTACGCACCGTGCACTGAGTCCACTGAAGTGCTCGAAGAGCTGCCGTCGATCGCGATGACCATGGAAATGGGGAGATTCAACAATTGCTCGTGGAGTAGCTCTGCTCCAACGACCTGTCCAGGCAGCTGTCCATTGGGGCGCAGGTGTGGTCCACTTTGCCCACTTGCGCTTGTTGCTCAGTGTTGCGGCAGAGTTCCGCCACTTTTGAGCCTGGCTTGAGCCATACTTTGCCCAGTGCTGCCATTTGTGAGGATTGGTGTGGCTATCCAGATCGATGCGCTGTGTCTTTGGCGGCTGTGGCCTGGGCCTAAGCTTTGGCTTCGGCTTCGGTAATGCCTGAGCCTTGAAGCGCCAGTCCGTGCCGGGTATGTAAACATAGGTCTCTGTTGTGCTCGTCGAGGGCTGCGCTGTTGTTGTCTTCTTTGGCAGAAAGCGCTTTGGGTAGAGGTCGTCCCTGCTGCCAGGAATGGGAAAGTAGGCCGCCTCCTCCAGAGCGAAACTGATGCCTCGCGGATAGGCCGATAGCAAATTAGTGCCAAAATTACAAGTGAACTTGAAATACGAGCCTGGTGGAAAGATTACTGCACGCTTCCTGCGACCGAATACCCGATCGTATGTCGATCGCAATCGTGTCTGTCGAGTCCTGCGCTCTCCATGACTCCAATTGATCAGCAGCAGAAGCACAACGAGCTGAGTGAACAACATTTAAGGCCCAACGAGAGAACAGAACGAAATGACTGCAAAGAATCACTTTCATATAGATTAAGTACTGGCTGTGAACAGATTAACTAAATATTTACTCTGGGTTGATTGATGACTTTATTTGTCGATCATCTACATAAGTGGCAGCCAGAGATAGCCCAGAGACCCAATTTTGGGGCAATCATGTTGACAGATTCATTCAGTTGAGTTATCTGACTCAAGCCGAGCAGTTCGTTGAGAGATGCAATTCAATCGGTTGCTATACCAAGTGCTTGGCCTGCTCATTGGCTGCACAGCAACGAGCTGTTTATTGTATCCAGCATCATCTTCACTGGGTGTAAGTAGCTGTGATTGCATTTTCCACAAGACTTTGACTCTAAAAAGTGCCATTTATTTAGCTCACTGCCTCGGTTTCGATACCGCTGGCTGAATTCTATCCGGAACGGCGAATACTCATGGATTGGTGCTTCGCCATTTCCTATAACCTGCCCCACAACTTGAGCTCCTTCTACAGCATTCCCATTTGGCCAGGCTTCGCCAACTACCACACCAAACGCGAACTTCCGCGCAATGATCTGCAGCTTTATGAGAAATATGGCTACAATGCCTTGACGCAAACACATCCCAAGGACTTATCAGCTGGAGAGCTGTATGGCAGCATCGAGGATGTCCTAGCTTCCTATGGCTTCCACGAGACGTGCCTGCTGCGTAGCGTTTGCGAGCTGGCCAGGCACCCCTTTGACGATGAGTATCCGCACATATTGAGCGACATCCTGTCATTTGTCTTCAGGTAGGACTTTGACTTCCTAGACTAATGTAGACTGATAGGCCTTTGTATTTTCTAACAGCCCCTCTCAGCATCAAGGATTTCTGGAGAGCGAACATGTCTATAGGCGGGTCTATGAACAGGCTGAACTTGACGGCTTCTTGGGCAAAGACTGCGCCCGTATCTATGGACATTGCGAACACGATATCTTGAGGCTCATTAGCAATGTCGTTTTTCATAATAATTGAATAAGTAAACAAACGATGTAAACTGTAACGTCAATGCGTTTCATTAGCAACTTCTCTAGATGCCAGCGAGAGCCGTTCTCTTTCTCTCCGTCGCTTCACAGCGATATGGATCTTTCTGCGGTGAACTTCATATTCGCACTGCTGGCGACACTGCTCGAATGCCAGGCCAAAATACCGTTGTTCTTTCCGGCCGCTTCGGTGTATCAGATAACGGCGGCCGTATCAGTTCCGGTCGTGCTGCCGCCACGCAAAATATTTTGGGACTGGGGCGTGCAAGTCAACTATGAAGTGCCTAGCAATCCGGCGAAGTTTTATGCAGCTGAAATCTGGGAGGATCAGTTTGCACGTCGCGCTAAGCGGCACCTGCACAATGAGACCCAAAAGTATATGCCAGCCGCAAGGACTAATATGCATCCGAATGATCTGACTGCCGGCGAGCTCTATGAGAGCATCGAGAATATGCTAGTCCGCTATGGCTTCGATGAGACCTGCTTGCTGCGAAGCGTCTGCGAACTGGCTCGACATCCCTTCCACGACAATGAGCAGAACATGTTGACGGCTCTGCTTACCTTCACGCTTACGTATGTAATCCCTATGCAGCTGTACTATGCCTGTCCCTAACTATATAAGTATTTCCTCAGTCCATCTCTGCATGCAGCCTTTGCACCGAGCGAGACGATATACCGCCAGATCTATGAGCGTGCCGAGCAGCAGGGATTCATGGGAGCAGACTGTGCCCAACTCTATGACCAGTGTTCAGTTGACTTCCTAAGCGCCGTCAGCAAAATCATTCACTGAAACGAACTCTTGAATTCGAATTTATAAAAACGCTCTCAGATGTCGCCATAATAATAAAAAATTACACGCTCTTTAATATTTTTATAGCATTTTTACACACAAAGCTATACAATGGGCTTTTACCACACATGCCATAAAAGGGGGCATAATTAAATATGTGCAAATATGTATACATATATGTATGCATATGTATATGTGCTTGTATAAAAGCAAATATATTTATTTATTATCGGGCTGAGCAGCTGACTTGTATTATTCAGATCAAGCTGTATTGAAAATGGAAATTCGGGGTATATTCTTAGGCTGACTTTAGATATATTATGTAATAGCCAGTAGAAGATATAACTTACCCCATAAAATAACAGTCACATGGAGCTTAGCTCTGCCGATTATCCTACGACCTAATGTCCTATAAGACTTCCAGATTTCGAATTATATTTAGGCACTCCAATTATCTCTATATGTATATCATCTCTAATAGCATGTTGATCAACTCTTTAAAGCCAAATATCATATTTATTCATACTTAGCAACATTTTAAAGGATTTTTTATACGCTTGATAGCTTTATTTAACTAATAAACATTTCTAAAGAAACATTCTTTGTCATAAGAACCATTCGAACTATTATTGCTTATCATCAGCTTGCTTATTATCAGTTAAATATTAACTCTATTTTAACAAGATTATGACAAGCAGCTTTATGCAATTAGGCATTAATTAAAATTATTTGGTGAGAGACTCTAGAGTTAGTTTAACCACATAATCCTCTCATCTGCAAATAAGCACCAAACTAGCATTCGTTGAATAATTGATTTAAATAACATTATAGATTATAGGCTTAGCTTTATTTCATATAACTAGCTTGGTCATTATGCTCAGCAAATCCAGTTCACATTTGGGATACGCTTTTTGGCAGTCGCCGCCCATGAAGCCCAATTTCTCTGCGCGCTCATAGCGATATCGATATTGCTTTTCGTTGGGTCCAAAGCCATCGTGCTGCGAGGGTCTATGGGAAGTGAACAATTATATTAGTTTATATATATTTATATATACACTCCCGAGTGAATTACACTTACGTTAGCACAAAGTTGATAATCTGGACAAACAGATTCTGGCTGTAGCCGTGATCATCCGCCATGGGATGCAGGGCCAATTCGCAGACGCTGCGTAGCAGGCAGGATCTGTGGAAGCCGTAGTCCGGCAGGAGGCGCTCTATGCCCGCATATAGCTCGCCGGCAGTGAAGTCCTTTGGATGGATGCCACTCTCAGCGACGACTACCTCGTTGGCTGCACTCGTGAAGTTATACGATTCACGCCTGCGACGTCGCTCGTACGCATTGGGCCAAATAGTTGGATTGTAGAATGAGAGGAGGTCGAAGGGCAGATTGTAGTTCATTTGAAAGCCCAGATCCATGAAAACCCTGCGGTTGGGTAAATCAATCGGCACCGACATCGACGACGTCAGCTGCAGCACCGAGATTGGGGGAAAAAGGAATAGACCGCATGCCCCGGTGATGAAGCACACGACGATGCTGATCGAAACGAGGATCGAGTTCCAGTTGTGCTGCCTTGGCCGACGCATTTCGATGTGATTGATATGCTGGCCGCAGCCCGGAGCGCATGATATATGTGAAGTGGCTTTTGGGTCAATTTGTTTATTTGGGTCTTCAATTAACCAAACTGTTAATGAGTAAAACATTTGCTATGCGTGCGTACCAATTAGAACGGTAAAACCTGCAGAAACTGGGACGTAGTCCTCTGTATGTTTCTCTGCCCAAGAACTCTCGAACGAAAAACAATACAAAGCGTGCAGAGCATTTGTCAGCCAAGCTCAAATTTGTGCACACCGAGCTGTTAATACTCTGAGATTACTAATTTATGAGAAGTAGCAAACAATGAAATTGAAAGTGAATTGAAACTAATCCATACGATTATATGAATTGATAGATTTCATTGTATTGATCAGATTCCGAGACAGCTGGATTGATTTTAAAGCAAATTTATTACCATTAGAATCCAAAATTATCTCCGATCCACAGAAGTGACAACATATTTGTAAAATCGAAAAATACAACCATCAGAATTGTCCAACACAGTCAAGTTTTTATATAAATAGGCACAGTTTTTACATCTTCTTTTTAATCTTTTGACATTTTATTTATATCAATTGTTATTCACCTCAATCGAACCACAGCCAATAACAAGTTATGAAAATCATAAAAATTAATGTAATAAATAAAACTAATATATATATAGTATATATGTATATATAGTATATTCTCTGTAGTTAATCCTGATCAAGAATAAGCCTCAAAGAGACGCCCACAACTCATACCATATGCCAAAGGGCTTATTAAAATCATGAAACTCGAAACTGGCATTTCCTAATGGGTTCAGGGTATTAAACAAAGCTGTATTCTTATTCTTAATTCTCTGTATAGCTCAGCTGTGAATTTTTAAAATCAATAAATGTAGCTTTGCTTGCCTTCTGGTTCCCTCTGCACAATTGATTCGCTTGGTATATCCAACGCATTAGTAAGCCAAACGTCCAAATGACAACAAGATGAGCCTAAGCCAAGAACAGAGAATTCTCAGCTTGCTGCTGCTGCTGGCTATCGGGGGACTCGCAGCTGCGCATACGAGCAGCTTCGAGCCTAGACTTGGTTCTGGTCTTAAATCTGGTTCCGCAAATCTGAGCCAAATAATTCCAAGTGCCAAACTGAGTCGAGCCAAGCGTGTTGCCATCTACAATGGCCAGGGCGTAGTCAAGGTATTTAATTATTGCAATTCAATTTACTTAAATATTAAATGTTAATTGATCGATTTTTACAGTTTGCTGTCACTGTTGCGCATCCTGTCAAGCAGGTGGAAAAGGAGCAGTCTTTCTGGTTCTTCTACAACTTGCAAAGCCAGTACATTCCCACCACAGTACCCATATTTTGGTGGAGCTTTTGGAACACCACAACATTTGTCTCCACAGCTCGTCAACTGCGCAAGGGCATGCAGGCTACTCTACATCGGGATGATACGCGCAGCTGGGTCTACGATGCCCTTGAGGTCGGCATGGCAGCGTAAGTATTCCGGAACTGAGTTCCTCAATTCTTCACAATCATGGCTGAATTTTAATTTCAGGCTAGATGGCAGTGAAAGTGGCGCCACTTGCTTGCTGCGCAGCATCTGCGAGGTCTCTCAATTGCCCTTTGAGAACAGCAACATATTCAGCGAAATAGTTAACGCAGTGCTTATGTGAGTAACCAATAGTTCTATATTCGTTCCGATACCCCATACCATCTATCTTTGCAGACCCACAGCAGATAATGTTGCTGAAAAGTATATTAATGCCAGAGATGCGGGTCGCGCGGGTGCCGATTGCCAAAAGACTTACAAGGATTGCAGTCGAAAAACCTGGAATTGGTTAACAAACTTCAATAAAGTGAACTTTTGAGACGAACATTAAAATAAACTATAGCAATCGAAAACAGATCTAGTGAAGACTTGAGACAAAAAAAAAGCGTTTGATATAACTTAGCGAGCTCTAATAATAAATCTAATATCAAATTTATATAAAATCGACGGAGTGATGCTGTGATGATCACGCCTGTATAATCACAGAGTTATTTCAATCAGTTTTGGTCTGTTTTTTTTATAGTCTCCTGGAATCCAGAGTCGCCTTGAAACAAGTCGAAATTCATTATGGTCTCAATAAAACTTAAATATAGCTGTACCATTTCGAAGTGCTTAAGAATGAGGGCACATATTGATCAGTATAAACTTTTTCAGTTCACCATGATTCATGCTCTATAGGAAACGCCTTCATGTTTTACATTTTGGCAAAGTTGCCAATTGTAAAAAATCAAATATCTAAATATATATGGACTAGAACAGATAGCTTCCCCGTTGGACAGTCAATTAAACTATATCTTTGGCTTGGTCAAAATTTTATTAATGTACCATTTAAAATAATTTTGATTAGATAATGGGTTGCTGTGCGCGTCGTACCGGGAAATTGTCACAAATCTTAACTATTAGCTATTTACACAATTCAATATGACCATTTGGTTTACCTAGCTTGCAGTATGGAAGCTCGCCCTCTATCTGGCCGTCTTCCTCATGCTGCGACGCCTCCACTCGGCCCATGCCTCGCAGAGCATCGGCTTCTGCCAACAAATACACTCGCTCAGCGGCAGTGCACCGGGTTTGATCCGTTTGCACTCGGAGAAAGCCGGATATGGCGTCAATGGCTTGGAGCAGTTGAGAGGACGCCTGAGTACCACGCAACTTGGTGGAATGCGACCGGCTCTGTGGCAACGACGCTTGAAGCGTGGGCAGTCCAGGGGGATTTTATCGCAGGTGACGGGCTGTGGGCATGCGGTCTTCGGCTTGGGGGTGGTGCGACGACGCAGTGGAGCCGCCTTGACGTCCTTGAAGCAGCATATCTTCTTCGGCTTTATCGCAATGGGCGGGCACGCGACCCAGGTTTGCCAATACTTGCGATTAGCCTTATCAGACTCAACGTAGTATATATCATCGAAACGTGGATTGAATGGACAGTGTGGCTCGTCCTCGTCACAAAATGGATTTAGCCATATGGATGGTTCCTTGGGCTGCTTTTTTTCGTTTACCTTCGGTTTTTTCCTTAGCATATTTTCCGGATCACCGCAGGGAGACGGTTTCGGTTTTTGGATCTTAGCTCCATCGCACTTTCCACTTTTTTTTGACTTCATGCGTAGAGCAGGCAGAATGGGCAACTTTGCCAAATTACGTAAAGCTGAGCGATTCCATAACGAGTGAAGCGGTATCATTTTCAATTTCAAAAATTATTGTTTTTTTTTTTTATTTTTGTGAAACAGTTCCAACTTATAAAAAATTACAAAATTTTGAAAGAATTAAAAAAAAATAAGAAGGAAAATTTCGAAAATAACCGAAATGGAGAACTGTTTTCCAGTTTTGCAATCTGTACACTGAGCCTCAGCCCAAATAAGATTCTCTATTTCAGTTTGAGGTGTAGTTTTAATTCCAATGCCTACTCAGTCTTTCGACTAGCGTTCACATTCATTGTGAGAAAGTCAAGCACTCTATATGGGCAGGAAATCGCATAGAAACTGGCGCAGTCCCGAACATTCCGTCGATGCTGATACTTATCTTCAGCGACATCTTCGGGCAAACTGAAAGGAACTGAATAGAATGGAAATATCATCTTATGGTAGCTCACTTACGTTAAAATAATTCGCAGAAGATCCTCCATTAGTAATCCACTGCCATGATGCTCATTAAATCTGGCCCGAAGCTCGCACATTGATCGCTTTATGCAGGATCTTATATCTAATCGAAAGCTGAAATTAATGACATTGGTTATACGAATGAATGTAGGGCTCCGAAAATATTCATTGGCTTACTAATTTCCCATTGCCTCGAATTGGTCAAAGATTTCACGTCTTTCTCTGTAATCACGATTTAGTTTCCACTTGGGCACATCTGTCCAGGATTTGTATACTTCCTGCTCCAAATTTCCCAGTTGATGTCGTCGCCAAGGCTCTTCAGCCGATTGCCAAGGCCTTTTATAGAAATATTCCTTATGTGTTTCAGATTTCACATATCTGCATATATATTTATTGAATTAAAGCAATCAACTGAGAGTCAGCATGAAATTACTTGGCATAGTGCTCGGGTTGGTAAGGGCCCCTATACAAATGGGGCTTACGGTGAGCATAGTTAAATCGTGAGCCATTGCGCCTGTAATCGTGCCATTTCCAGTCCCAGCGATGCATGGGCTTTGCGCCTGTCGCTTTCTTAGGATTGTCATGATCGAGGAGTATGTTTGGTCGCCAGCCATCCACAGTATCCGGCAGACTTACATACATATCGAACTCCACGCTGTATTGCAATCCACTAGGTCGCCCGCCCACAATTATTTTGGTCATCGCTGCCGTTATCAACACTGTAGACCCTTTGGGAAAGACGACAGCTCGCCCACGTCGTGAAAGTAAACCATTCGGGCGACAAAGCCACTCTGTCTGATTTCCGTTAGTTGCCTCCACAACATATCCAACCACTATGACAAGTAAAATAACTGGCGTACAGCTCATACTGAAGCACTCAACATGCAAATCCAAACTGCGCCAATGTCCCACTCCAAGTGACCATTTGACTTTGCACTAGAGAAGAGCAAATATCGGACTTGTAAAGACATGAGAAATAAAGGTTTTAGTCATATCTCAATAAATGTCAGCTGAATGTGAATCTAGTAATTTTCATCCATAGAGAGTGGTAAATCTTGCAGATTGCAGAATATTACATCTTGTATAAGACTAGTTGTGTGTGTGATATTTTATAAAAACACAAAAAAAAAAAAAATTCATAGCAGAATTAAAAATTAAACAATTTATATAAACAAAAATAATAATAATTATAAAATAATATATAAAGAAAATAATAAAAAAAAAATTAATAATAATATATAATAGTAATATTAATAATAACAATAACAAAACATATAAATTCAATATATAAAATTAGTCTATACCATAAGTAGCAGTACTTTACAAAATTTTTATCGGAAGATAGCTCAACATGGTGCCATCTCCAATTGCGAACTGTCACAGGTGCGCTAATTGTCTTGGCCGGGCAGACAGGTGCCAGACACCAGGTTACAAGTTTTCGTATTAGTAAGCTATGAGGTACAAATATAACAGTATCAAGTTATCCATGACATTTATTTTTTTAGTTGATAAATTCTCAGATTCGTTTTGGGATCAGTTACAGTTACATTTATAGTTGCTTTATAGACAGTAAGATTTTCGGCATTTCCGCACGGCGTAATAAAAAATAAATAAATCCAAAAAATAATTCATTGGTATTAGCCTGAGATAATCAACAGAATGGTGAACTTTAATAACGGTACAAAAATAATGGTTAACCGGTGCATTGAGCTGCTCAATGCAAAAATAGCCCATGCCCAGACCCGACACATTGCGAAACGTGTACCGGTTAATCGTATCAGACCCCGAAAGATGGATGCCAAGGCTATTTTTCGGGAGCGTCAGAAAGCAGAGAATTATGAAGCCAGTAAACGTCTTTCTATGTGGGAGCAGAACAAGGGCGAGAAACAAAACATGTCAGAGAGCTTGCGTATGGACCATTCACATTATAAGCATTGTGGATTGATGGAACGCACCTACGACTGTACCTGGGCCGATTTCCCAGAAGATGTCAAGCCCAAGTCTGGCAAATCAGTGCAATCACCTGAGGAAGTTCAATCCCCTCGTCGTGAGTCTGGTAATCGACCAGACACAGCCAAGCCCTGGGATGCTGAATCCGAAGACTTCATTAAACAATGGGAGAACAATAATGATATGATCAATCGTAATAGATTTGCCACAACAACGACTTTAAGTCGCCCTCTTTTGGCCAAACCCGTCAAAACTAAACTGCCCAGAAAGAAAATGTTTTTCTTCTAGTTTTGAACCATTTCCTTGAGAACGTTTTGATTCGCTTTTTATTAGTAGAGTATAATCATTAAATTGAATAGTGCGTCATCTATACAAATAAATAGTTATACGTGATTGGTGATAGAAGTCAATTTTTAGTGTTTTACTACTACAACGAAATTCATCTTTGTATGTGTTGGAATAAACGTACATACATACATACATACATATGTTGATATTCCAAGCCAAAAGCGCATTTTGATTTGATTATTTTGGTATATCACATGAAAAAATAAAAGAAAACAAAAAACAAACTATCAAAGCAGGCATATGTATATAAAAAATATTTAAAATTATAGATGTATTTATGAATAACTGTTTGTCATATTCTAAATTTGTAAAGTCGTGTATGCAAAATTAATAGTAATACAGGAGAAAGCTGTCGGGTTTTCGCTAACAATGCTGGGAGTAATTGCCAAACGAATTCTAGTTATGTCTGTACGGTGCCTGGCCACCCGCAAGGATGGCGTGCTACGCAAAGGACCTAAGCTGCCTAGACTACCGATTAAAGGACCAAGGGATTTCGATTACTGGCGTGGTTTGAAGCGCAAACCAAAAAAACCAAAAGATAAAATTACAAAGGTTAACAGATTTAAACATCGAAAGGCGAAAATTCGCAAGCCAAAGGAGAAGAGAGAAATGCCAACAGAAGAAGACGAAGGAGCAGCAAAAAAATCAAAGTGAATTAAATAAAATTCATTAATTCGGAAACAAAATAAATTTGAATAATATGCAATGCATCTGACAACTCTAACCTAAATGTGCCCAATAACTGGATGCCACAAAAGTTTCATTTGTAAACTCAATCTGGGATTTTGTCTATTTGTTGGATTTTTAAAAATCATAATGGAAGCTTTTTGCATTCACCTGGCCAAGTCGCTCCTGAAGAACGTCCAGTTTTCGGAGTAAACTGCAATACATCTGGCAACTCTAGGCACAGCTGGGCTGCAAATGTACTCGATGCCGCAATAGTATTGTTTGCGAAAATCATCTGGCTTTGTCTTCAGCTTTGTTTATTCATTCGCTGTTATTTGCCTGGCATGGCGCTGTTGAGGAGCGTTTCCAATAGCTTTTCGGCTGTATTCCGTCACTTTGCCAGCTCGAGTGGCTGCACCATTTACAGCCTCAGTTCGGGGCACGTCAAGTGCGGCGTCTCCGTCATCCGTGTGTCCGGGCCACAGACAAAGCAGGCGCTGCGCGCTATTGTGAACAACAGCGAATACGAGCCGAAGCAGCGGCAGGCATACCTGAAATCATTTTATCATCCCACCAGCAAAGAGATCATCGACAGGGGTCTGCTATTGTGGTTTCCCGGGCCAGCCTCGTTCACGGGCGAAGATGCTTGTGAGTTTCAAGTGCACGGCTCGTTGGCCGTCATTGCAGCCATGCTCGATGCCCTGGGCAAATTGCCGGGTCTACGGCCCGCACAGCCGGGTGAATTTACAAAGCGAGCGTTTTTCGGAGGTAAGCTGGACTTGACCGCAGTGGAAGGCCTATCCGATTTGATTCACGCCGAAACTGAGGCACAGCGCAAGCAGGTAAAGAAATATATATATACTGTAAATGTTATGCAATTCGTATTAAAAGCAAATCTTTTCCAGGCATTGCTACAAAGCACCGGCACTCTGGGTCGCCTCTATGACAACTGGCGCAAGCGTCTTATTCGCTGTGCCGCACATCTAGAGGCGTACATTGACTTCGCCGAGGATGAGCAAATAGAAGGCGGCGTAGTATTGAAGTTGACCAAGGAACTGAAAGCCGTGCAGCGCGAGATACGTGCTCATCTGAATGACCAGCGGCAGGGCGAGTTGCTACGAGACGGTGTTCGCACCGTCATCATCGGAGCTCCAAATGTGGGCAAGAGCAGCCTCTTAAATCTGCTCTGCCAACGTGCAGTGTCCATTGTGACCGATCAGGCGGGCACCACACGGGATATAATCGAGACAACGCATAGCTTTGGCGGCTATCCCGTAGTCTTTGCGGACACGGCCGGACTTCGTAAACACACAACGGACGCAATTGAGGTAGAGGGCATGGCCCGTGCAAAGCAATGTCTCGCTCAGTCTGACCTTATATTGCTGCTGGCAGATGCAAAAGTTCTGCGAGATGTGGACAGCAATGAATCTCTAAATGGACGTATCGACAGCTATTTGCAGGAGCTGGACATACCAAAGGAGCTGTGCAGGGGAAAACGCTTGCAGCTGGTGGCAAATAAAACGGACACGCTGTCAGCGGAAGAGATTAACCATCTCAGGAAACTAAAGGATGTGCTGTGCATATCATGCCACAAGCAGGACAACTTGCCGGAGTTTTTGGGCTCCTTAGAGCAGCTGCTGCAACAAATATGTGGAACACCGCAGGCGGAACATCCACGCATCACGCACAGCCGCTATCGACAGCAGCTGGAGCGCTGCATCGAACACATCGAGATATTCCTAAGAGATTACAAACCCGATGTCTACCCTGACATGGCCATAGCAGCGCAGCAGCTGCGTAAATCGGTGCGCTGCATCGAACGCATCACTGGACATGTCAGCTGCGAAGACATACTGGATGTTATCTTCAAAGACTTTTGCATTGGAAAATAGTTCATACTCCTAATCATTAAGTACAAAGATTGTATAGACTGCAAACAAAGAGAATTGGATGACGAATGCACTATCGCTACCATCAGCCATTAATATTAACTTGTAAATTTAACCAGTCCAATAATATAAAATTTTCGAAAATAAATCAATTCAAATCATATTTAAAACTAGGATTAAAATAAATAAATATATATCCCACATATTTTCGTTTCGTTAGAGATATCAAATAGAATACCCCTATTTAAAGCAGTCTATCAAAATTTGAATCCGATAAGGATTTGTAGCAAAAAATACTATCGATAGATACACCGATTGCTCAGTGTCCACTTACATCACTAGAAAATATGAAAAACATTGGCTGAAATTATAGAAACAACGTGCAAATTGGCGTTTTAAATAAAGAGTATTTCTATTAGGACGGTGTGCGTGTTGTGCGGTGATTGTTCGGGGCAGTTTACGAAGCTAGCGAGTGGCGTCGGCAGGCACCAAAATGCCAGGAAAAGTGGGCGTCAAAATAAAAGCTGCGCGTAATCTGCCAGTGATGGACAAGAGCAGCGAGACAACGGATGCCTTTGTGGAAATTAAGCTGGCTAACAAAGAGCACAAAACGGAGGTGTTTCGGAAAAGCTTGAATCCCACATGGAATACCGATTGGTATGTGCCTATGTCACTCGCCCTTTAGCCGGCATCATTTATGTCTATAATTTACTGCTGTGCAGGTTTCGCTTTGAAGTTGACGACGCAGAGCTACAGGATGAACCGCTGCAAATTCGGCTAATGGACTATGACACATACTCAGCAAATGATGCGATTGGCAAGGTGAACATAAGTCTCAATCCACTTTGTCTGGAGAGCTCTAGTCAGTCGACCCATGGCAAGGGCATCGTGCTCTCTGGGTGGATACCGGTCTTCGACACAATGCACGGAATACGCGGTGAAATAAACATAATTGTGAAGGTGGATCTGTTCTCCGATGCCAACAAGTTTCGCCAGAGCTCTTGTGGTATTCCCTTCTTTCATTGTGCGTAGCAAATTAATGTGTAAAGCAAATCTAATAGCCCCTTTCGCCCGATTTCAGCACAATGTGTTCCCTTTGGTTATCGTGCTCAAGTCATCCATGGTTTTGTCGAGGAACTGGTGGTTAATGATGATCCAGAGTATCAGTGGATCGACAAGATCCGCACACCACGCGCTTCCAACGAGGCACGACAGGTTGTCTTCCTCAAGCTCTCTGGCCAGGTGCAGCGCAAAATGGGATTAAAGGCCATTAACATGGGCGCCAATGCAGTCATCGGCTATACGCAGTGCTTTGATCTAGAAGGTGATGTTGGAGTTGTGGCACGTGGTGTCGGCACAGCTGTCACCCTAATCAAGGACACCAGCACCAGTCAGCCAAACAGTGCAGACATAGCCCTCATCGAAGAGTGAGTATTAATAAAAAACAAAAATAATTATTGGAATATATACATTTATCATGGATATGTCTTAAAAAAATTGTTAAAATGCAAAATATTTGCATTTTATTCTGTTTCCAAAAAACAAGCCGGGATAACATTCCTAAATGATCAAATATTATAAAGTTAACTATTACAGAATTCAAGAATTTTAATAGATCTATTGTGACCGTGCTAAATTACTAATTTGATGTATAAGACAGTTCCATGATATAAAAAATATTATATTATGTGCCCCCAGCAATATAAGTTTATTCCCAATCAGTAGGTCTGCTTGTAGGTCCTCGTGGCTAAAGCTCAAATTATGTTCTAAAATGTTCTATTCTCTTCTTTTGAATGCTTTTCCCTCTATCCAACGATCACGAATGATATATAAAAACTCAATCGTCGTTTAACGCTCATTTTTGTACACAAAAATAAAATCTGTACTGTGCTCCTTGTCGTTTTTTCGTTGTTGTATTGCACATGTTCAAAATCGTTGTTGTTTTCGTGTCGTATCTATAACATCAAACAAACAAACCAAACAAAAACAAACTACAACACTCACTCAACCGCCCCTAATCGACCCTTAAACCCCATATAGAGTCCAAAAATATTTAGATTTTCTCAACTGCACCAGTGGCAGCAGCGCTAGCCTCCCACTGTCCGGCAGATCACCTCAATATCGTCTTAATATATACAAGCAGCCCAGTCTTAGCTCGCCCAGTTCGGCGGCGGCAGCAGCAGCAGCGGCAGCAACGTTGTTCTACTTGGAAAGCGGCAGTAGCGATACGGAGGATGCGGATGTTATGCAAAATCTCCTGAGGCAGGAGGATGAACGTGGCGAGAGAACACGAGAGAAAAGGTTGCGACATCGCATGCACCGTATGACTTTGTCGTCGCGGAATGTGTTTAGCGAGAAGTACGCAACGCTTTTGCGGCGCATCGAGCCCAAGATACCGGAGAATGCCACGCAATCGCTAAGCAATATATTCAGCGGAGTCGGATCAAGCACAAAGCGTCGCCGTAAGTCGCGCAACGCAATGGGCAAACGAGCACCGCAAGCCATAACACGCTCGATTAGCGATGACACGGGCGCTGGGCCATCTATGTGTCAACTGGCAGTTCCACGACTGCCCGTGTACCAGGAGAATACACGCTCAGCGCCGGATCTGGAAATGGATGCCTTTCAGCGTAAGTCCACGTGCTCCACGGACTCATCGGACTCGTTGTCTATAATTGAAATACTTGCCCCAGGCATTGACAGTGCAGCAGCAGCAGCAGCAGCAGAAGGCGACTCAAGTGACGAGGAGCTGAAACAGCTGCAAGCCTTCAAAGATGATGATGAACTGCAGGATAACTGGATTAAGCCGGGCGAGACGCGCAGCTGTGAGAGCCAGCTCGATTTGACGCCCAAGCGACACACGCTGCTCGAGGACCTGAAGGGTTTCTCGCGTCGTCTCCAACAACTGATGCATCTGACACCCAAGCAGCCAGTCCAACGGAAACGTTCCCTGCTGCTGGCCGCTGCTGCACTCGAGCCGTCTATGGAACGCAAATCGTATTACAGCTCACAGCCGGAACTGCCCACAAGCAGCGCACTCGACTGGCCCTGTGCAGACCTGAGTGCATTTGCATCCATGCTGCAGCTGAATCACTTGCCCAGCTACGAATCCAATTTGCAACGCTGTGCTTCGCTTTCGCACTTCGCAAGCGTTAGATCTCTAGATGTTGCACCATTAGTAAAGTTTGATTCCCGTGCATTACCAACGACACCGCCATCAGTACCTCCAGTAGCCCAAGAAGTAATTCAAGAATATCCGAACACGTTGCTGCCAGTTGCGCCCGTTGTCTGCATTTGCCCATCGACCCCAACCCCAACAGAATCCGAAAATAGCTCACAGCAGTCGCGTGCTTTTGATTATTATGATCCACCCGATTTCGAACTAGACCATGTTGTAAATATCTCTAATAGTACTAACCATAGTAACAACAATAATGAATCATCATTGCTTGCTCCATGCTATTCTGTTTCGCCATTTGCCATACCAAACCAACAACAACGCTCAACTAGGTCCAGCAGCGAGCTTCAGCAACAGCAACAGCAGCAACAGCAACAGCAACAACAACAGCAGCAGCAGCAGCAACAACAGCAGTCACAGCAACAACAACAACAGTCGACACCACAGGGCGTGCTCATACCCACCACAATTGCGTCGATCGAGAATAGTTCGAATGGTAAAAAGCTGGCATCGCCGGTTACCAGCAATCGGTCAAAGCTAACGCCCAGTCCCTCCAAGAGCGGCATTTCGGGTGGCACAAATGCGGACAGTGCATCCACATCGACTACTTCGACGGCCACAACAATGGTGCAGGTCAAGGAAGTGAGTGAGATCTGCCGTCGTTCGTCCGACTCCGATCTGAGTGTCACGCCCAAAGGTATGTAGCTCTCTGGCTTCCGTTTGATAATAAGTGCCATAGGAATTAAGCATAGGCTAAGTAGGGGTATAAATACTTCCTCGCTGTGAAAAGACTACGAGTGTTTCCATTGAGCCGAACGAAACCTTGTGACTGTGTGTATGTGTCTGTGTGTGTCTCGTGTCTCTCATGAGTAACTCACAAACTCTTCTAATGTTCTCTCTTTGCGCCCGCTGCTGCATCAAACACCATACAGGCATAGCCTATGCATTGCATCGTAAGCGTAAGTAGTTGTCACTCGTTCTCTCTCACTCTCTTTCTCTCTCTCTTTCTCTCTGTCTGTTTATTTATAAGTTTCGATGTCCATTATCGATGTAATTGTGTATTAATGTCAATGTAATACCTCTTTGTGTTGAGCGTGTGTGTGGGTATGTGAGTATATAAGTGTGTGGGTCAATTTGTGGGCAGGTAAATCGTTGCAGCTAAGCTCTCTTCTATACATTCATATAAGTTTTAACACCTCTCCAGTCTCCTCTTCTGAGCTGCTTGCAATACTGTGTACTTGTAATCACTCTCTCACTATGTATTTGCCTCTTATATCCTAATGATTATAATATTAAAAATATATATCTATTTGAAATCATCATCTTACCTATAAGCATATGTATATCTAAAATGAAAAATGGCACAAAGTTATTATGACTTCTCATCGGATCCATTCCATCCATCATCTAAATCAATTGACATTGTGTAAAGGAGATAATGAAACATGTTTAAGAGCAAAATTCGTTTAAGGACTACACAAAATTGTAATCTTCATATAAGAACTTTTTTTTTTTGAGTCTATGGAAGGTGAAGATTCTGGCTAGAATCTTCATTAAAAAAATCATATTGGCGAACAAAATTAAATAATAATTATAGATAATAATAAATTAGTATAAGAATGCCAAGAAATTTTCTTTCAGCCATCGGTTGCTAATCTAATTAACGAAGATTCTGGCAAACACCTCAGGCAAATTCGTAAATGTGTTTTAGCCTCCGCCAAAGACTAAATCTTGGTATTTGAGATACATAATTATTATTTCCATTAGGCCAGAAATTATGTAATCCAAGCGAACTTTAATTACGCCTCTCGATCACACATATCTATCCCATACTATGTTCTCGCTTGCCTTAACGTTGTAAACCTGTGGACCTATCATTCAAGTTCGGTTGTATAGCATCCGACTCTAACGTTATTTTCCATTGGCAGGTAACTCCGTTTGCGTGGCTAGCGAGCGACTGGCGGCGGCCACGGCTATGATGCGTTTGAACACACCCACCGTGGGCAGCAAGACAACCGACAGTCTGGACATGCTGGAGTATCCGTTCTTAACTATGACCAAGTATCCAACTGGGTTCATCCTGCACCTGGGCGCCACTGTGGCAGCACGGTCCGTTAAACTCCTGGAACGTGTACCCAATCCCGATGAGCCGGAGGTGCGTGACAGCTGGTGGACGGAGCTGCGCATGGAAATTCGCTCACATGCCCGCTCTTTGGGCTGCAACGTGGTGCTGGGCTACGCGGAGTCCACAAGCATATCGTAGGTCGACAAAATTTAATGCATCACAATGATTTTATCGTTATCTAATTTGTATATTTGATTCTGCAGCGACGATGTGTGTGTTTTGTCAGCTACTGGAACCGCTGCAGTTATTAACATGGTCTTCAATCGGTCTATTTCGCAAACGGACATCTTCGCCATATCAAAGGTAACCAATAATGTGACCGCCATGTCCAACTCCATGGAGGATCGAGAGGCAAATGGCAGCGCTGGTGAAGCAGCAGCCTCTGTCAAGGACGGCAGCTCGCAGGGTACTGCCAACGGCTCGGCTAGTAAACGCTTCGGCTTTCCAAATCAAGGTTCCCAACGTAACACCTGTGCCATCTGCCACGTGCCGTACAATTTGGGCAACGTACCCTTTAATATCAAGATGAAGAAGTGCGCTATCTGCCGCAAGGGCCGAGTGCCGGATGTTCTGTTGGCCACACTGGAAGTGCCGGAATATATGCAGGTGACTGGACGTGGCTGCTTCATGCAGGCTCAGGTGGTGCGCGCCAAGAGGGATCTGCGCGCCGAACTGAATGCCAAAGAGATTTCCGATGGATTGCCCTTTCTGGAGTACGAGCTACATCGTGTGTTGATCAATAAACTGAAGGCGAAAGGCATGAATGCCATTTTTGGACTGCGCACCCAGGTGGCCATTGGCGAACGCATGATAGCATTAATTGCCACGGGTACGGCACTATTTTTGACTGCATTGCCCGTGCCGATGGTGCCAAAAATAATGGCCGGTAACTCGTGGACGGACAAGCAGAAGCTCAACGAGCTCCAGAAGAAATTGCAGGAGACATTTGAGCGCAACCAAGAGATCTATCAGCTAAAGAATATGGATCCCGATTTGGCTAGCATCAGTGGCGGAGCAGGCGGCGATAAGCAATCAGATACGGATGATTCCGATGATGAGGAAATGAATGAAATCGATTTGAACTGCGGCAACAAAGAGCTCTGTGTACTTGAGGTAGATGATATCGAGGACCTGGAAATCATTTCACTACTCATGGAACCATATCCACCCGAGGGCTTCCATGTGGTTAACACACAGCAGGTGCCCGGCATGCAGGAGCTGGATGCTGTTAAAAACCTTCAAATGTTTACGCAAGTATGGCGAGCTCGCCTCGACGTGGGACAGAGCGTCAATGGATTCCCCAAGCACTTTCAGCGGTAAGTTGGTAGCTCATCAAAACCTTGAAAATAATATGTCAAATAGATATAACGATTAAATCTAAATCAAATGATTTCAGCATATAAAAAGCCTCTGAACCTATTCTCTATGTAACTATTCAATTTTCAATTTAATTTTCTAATTTATACTATCTTAAATTGAATGTACATTATTTTATAGACGAACGTAGCTCTCCATTAAAATTCACTAATTATTATTGTTCTTATTTGCTTTTTCTCACAGACTTCTGCAGACGATATATTTCAAGCTGCGCACAATGATACCCTGTGCAATATGCGATCTACGCTTTAGACTGGATTTGCCTGAAACGGTATGCAATTTAGATATTTTTGTGAAATTATTAATAAGTGGCGATTCACACACATTTAGGACCAAATCCAATTACTTGTCACCGGCATGGCCATGGGCTTGAGCGATGGCAATAAAATGAAATACCGTCGCCGGGCACCGGCGGCCGCACAATTACCAAATGGTTCGAGTGATGCAGCACCGGCTGTTCACGAAACTCAATCCCAGCCGGAGATGAATGGTAAGCGCATGCTGCAAGAAGAGGATTACATATTTCCACTGGACGAAGATCAAATGGTTGATACACCCACGCCAACCAGCTCGGCCATTCCTCCCTTTGGCATGAGCTCTTTCAAAGTGCGAAAGACTTCGCCATCGCGACTCTCTAATCTGATGACACCCTCCCCTGCACCAAAACTAATAAATATAGGCGCGCCGCCACGCAGTCGCTACGTAAGCTACGTTTTTCTGATTTAAAATTCGACGAACTAATGGTTTTTCTGCACAGTCTCCACTTCGCGATCGTTATGGCGTAGACCTGACACCACTTAGCTTCATACCGGGTGGTCGTATTGACAAGTATTTGGGCAATCTGAACTTCTTCTTCATTAGGGAGAGCACCTCAATACGAGAGAACGGCGGCATTAGCGGATTTGTGCATAGTTTCATTACCGAACTGCTGGCAGTTGTGCGCGCCCATATTGCTTCGCTGGGCGGCAATGCAATGGTCTCATTCTATTTGACCGAACTCATTTTGTTCGACAATCAGCACAAGAATCAGGTAATATACGAATTCTCATTAATGTGCCATTGTACTGCTATGGTTCTTTTATTGTGTATTGCAGGGACAGTGTCTGATTAGCATTGGCGGTGATGCAGTATATGTCAACTACTTTGCCGACGACTGATACAACCGATTGCGGGGCATATAGCGCCAGTTCTTCGCGAATCGTCCAAGAAGTCTTTACTACTGAAGAAGCCCCGGTTTTGCTCTCTGAATTTTTCTCTCTTCCTCTACTTCACTCTGGATGCCAACTCTTAGTAGTTTTTGGCTCTCTAACTCGGCGTTGTATGGGTCAATAGTGTGAGGATCCCATGTAGAAGCGCTGTTTACTTAAATATACATATAGTAGTTGTACTGGTGCATACTACTGTGTCGTCTATCAAATTGAAATCATGCAATATTTGAACTGTGACTTGACGTTCAAGATGTAGGATGAATTTTTCATGTATTGTTATTTGTTTGCTTAATGTTTAAAAATTAGCTACTCGCAATTATCATGACCGTAGTTTGTACATAGCCGAGATGTTTATTAAATTTACATTTTGATAGATAATTTGATGCCTTCAGCTGTGAGGCATAGCTCTTAGCAATTATACAGTATACACAGCGAAGTGTAATTAATTTTGGCAAAACAAAAGTCAGCCAATAACTTATGTAACATATATACATATATTATATCTAATACTAAATAATATGCAATCTTTGAAATTAGAATCCAAAAAGTATCCAACAGTTGTCTATCTGTCTATTCAATTGGGAGTCGTGGAAAGCAGCACAAACATAACCCAAAGATGCAGCAACGCAACGTAAACTATTATGCAGATGCGCATCATAGGATACCGACGCAGAAAGGCGCCAACCCGTATGCCCACGGAATCTGCCTGTCGCAGAGCGCGTTTAAAGCGGCGAGCGACGCGATTGTCGAAGGGACTCGGATGCATTAGCAGGGGAAACTGTGCCTTGACTAAAAGAAGAGACAAATATCAAAATTCATAACTGTAAGAAAAGCGGAATCCATTCGGCCAATCATTTCACCTACCATCATCTGTGCTGTTGGAAAGCAGCGTATTGCGTGAACTTGAGCCTCCTCGTTGATGACCCATTTCAACAGAATGCAGCTGTTGCAGCTGCGCCTGCATATTCTCATGCTGCATACGCAGAGCATTGCGCTCGACTGTTACGCGTTCCAGAAGGCTCTGACGCTCTACTAACGATTGAGTGAGGGCTTTTAAACGATTCTCGTAGTCAATCTTGACACTGCTGAAGCCAGCTTCGTTAACGAGCTGTCGCTGCTGTTGTAATTGTTTCTCCATTTCGTGCAGTCGAGTGGCAGAGGCAGCCATTTGGTTGCTCATCTGTTGACGCAGGGATGACAACTCTTGAGTCAGCATGCGCTGCTCTGATTCGATGGCCAAGCTGTGCTCGCGAGCTGTACGAAGCTCTTTGTTGAGTGCATTTTCACGCTGACGAGCCACGCCGAGCTCCAATTCGTGCTGACGCTCTAATGCCATATAGTCGTCAAGCTGCAAGCGCAGTCGCTGCTGTTCCTCGCTAGCGTGCTGCAACTCCTGCTTTAGAGCGTCAAGTTCGATTTGTAAGAAACGAGTTTCGCTGTCCTTGGCAGACAGCTCACAACCATCTGTAACTGGATTTTGTTTGAGCTCAGCGATAAGGGCATCTTTGCCCTGTAGTGCTCGCTGAGCTTTGGCTCGATATTCTTGTAGCTCAAGGCGCTGTTGATCCGTCTCTTTGGTTTGCATTTGCAGCTTATGCGCTGTGCTTACATACTCCTGCTGCAGCTTGGCGAGATTCGTTTCTAATTCAGATATGGAGTGTACATAAGCCATTTGCGCTGCTTGCGCCTCGCTCAACTCTTGAACAGCTTTGTCGCGCTCTTCGGATAATGTTTGTGTTAGACTTTCCAGCTCCTGTACTCGCTGTTTCAGGCCAAGATTCTCGTTATCGAGGTTGAGTCCATCAAGTCGCAGGCGCAGCTCATCACGCTCACTGGTGATCTCATTAAGAGCTATCTTGAAAGCCGCCAACTCATCTGTGTCCATTCCGTTGTCATCTGGATTGACTGAAAAACTGGCCGATGTTGGTAAATTTTGTCGTAGCTCTGTGGTCAACACTTGGGAGCCTTCGCTTTTGCTGCTGGATGCGCTATTACCGACCATGGACAAAGACATAGGAGTACTGCTGCTGCTGGTGGGACGCTTAATTGGAGAGAGTGTTGTTTTTAGAGATTGTGTGCTGCTGGTGAGACTGCTCTTCATAGCATCTAACGCTGGACCAGCTTCCGTGTGCAAAGCTGTAGCAGCATTCTGGTCGATTTTGTTTAAAATATTCTCTGCTTTATCCGCCAACCCTGTTATCCACGACGACATTTCTAAATCACAGAAACAAAGCTTACAAAATCCTTGATACGTGGAAAAGTAGTTTGTTTATGTCAGTGCCAGTACTGTATAAAATCATCAGTACTATATTTTCAGTACTGAAAACATCCCACATACAACAATCGATATACATATATGTTGTTGGCACACTTATCGATAATTTTTAGCATTACACACACACAAAAATCAATAGTCGCCGCCATATTTTTTCACTTGTACTCGGACGCGTTTTTATGTTTAGGTAACTGCAAAAAAATTTACGAACATATAAAAGTGGTGAAATAGTAACCGACCAGCTGCATATTACAATAATTATTGTTTCTGCGTTAATTGGTGAAAAGCCCTTGCAAACTAAAAACGGCTAACGTTTGTGCGCGTCCGAGTGTTGTGTGTGTGTGTGTATGTGTGTCAGTGTAGCGGGCGGCGTAAAATAATTAAAAGTAGAGTAACTACTGTTGTTGCTATAACCCCAACTAAAGTATGGAAGGAGCTACACAAGTTGCGGCCCCTCCTGTAGGTGGGCCGCGTGGCGGTGGCTACAGAGGTCGCGGTGGAGGTCCTCCCATGCGGGGCAGTTTCGAGCGTGGACGTGGTCGGGGCATGGGTCGCGGTCACTTTATGGGTGGCATGCGAGGTGGCGGTATGGGCGGCGGTGGTCCCCCAATGCAAGGTATGATGCAGGGTCCGCCGCGCGGCATGCGTCCTCGAGGCGGTTTGGGCTACCAGGGCCGTGGTGGTGGCGGCGGCTTTCAACCACGCGGTGCCCCTATGGGCATGCGAGGGGGACGTCCACCCCTATACCAACAGCGTAAGTACAAACGAAATTACAGCAATTGTTGCTTGGATCACCTACATAACGAAATCCATACAGCGCCTAAGCAACACACGGGTGCCGACAACAATAAGACCGTATCGCCGGTACCCACAGCAACGGCAGCTGGAGAGCAGCAAGCCGGCGAAACTTCAGGTGAAGATGGCACGGATGCAGTAGCTGCGTCAGCTGGAACAGCCACAGCAGTGGTGAACACGCACGGAGCGAGCGGTGCGCCTGGCAGCAGCAACAGCAACGGTGGAGGACCACCGCCATACGCAGGTCGGTTAAGAGGACGTGGTGGCCCATTCGGAGGTCGTGGACGAGGCGGCGGATACAATCCACACATGAACGGCAGTGGCGGCAATGGAATGTACCCGCACTCACATCATAACAACTCCATGGGCGGACCCGGGGGCGAGCATGGAGGAATGCCGCGTCGTGGCTCGATGCGCGGACGTGGCGGTGGTTACAATCAAGGTATGAGTCGGCCACCCATGCAACATCACCAACAGGCTCATAATGTCAATACACAAATTGCACCGGTACCAGCTCTCAAACGTGGCGCACCCGGAGGACCAGGTCCCAAGCGTGGAAGATACGAAGGCGGACCCTATAGCCAGCGCCCCATTACACCAAAGTATCATGCGGCGTCCCAGCATATGTCACAAACTACTTATGGCTCCCCACCCAGCCATCATGCTCCAGCACCAAGGTAAGTCCAATACATTTTCGACTCTAGTAACAATTCCATTTTATTATTAGTTTAAATAAATAGAACTTTAAATTGATCATAATATTAATGCCAACGTTCACTGCAGCCATCATGGTGGCTATCAGACGCACGACCAGACCCAACAGGTCGATCCATACTCGCAAAGCGGCTACGGCGCATCAGCAACTTCCCAGCAGGGTTATAATGGCTATGGTCAGAGTAGCGGCTATGCAGCACACACAACCCAGGCAAATACAGCGGCCAGCAGCAGCTATGCGTCGCATCACGGAAGCGAGTACGATCAGAGCCAATACCAAGGATATAAGTAAGTGGGCTGCAAATATTACCAAAATTAGTTGTGGCTTTTGCTAATAGAATTTGTGTTGAATTCCAGCTCTACGGGCTATGCCGCCCAGCCGGACACGCGCTATCAGTCATATAGCCAAGATTACAGCCAACAGTATGGCTCCACAGCAGTTGATTACAATGCAACCGGACAAGCGGACTACAGTCAGCAGAGCGCTAGCTATGATGAGCGCGCCTATGCTGGCTATGGTAAGTAATTGTTAATTAGTCATTATTTTCTATTACACATCTGCATCATCGAATTTGTCGGCATCCCCCACCAATAGATTCGCAGGCATATTCGCAGAACTATTCAAATGCAGCTGCCTATTACTAAACAACAACAGTTTGCCGCATCCCTCGAATGGCGATATACATTTTAGTGAAGAACGCTGCGCGTGCTCCAACACGTATGCCAAATACCAAAATAAGGGATTAGGGCCAGCACGAGCATAATGATATGATGTTTAATGCAGAAATTTGAATGCTATATAAATTAATACCTACACGTAGACACACATACACACATTACACTCAAAACACACAATTAGATTAAGAATAAAGTTCTCTTTTCCTAGCGTTTAAGTTAAAACGTGTTGCTACGTCTTGATTTTCACCTCCCCTGCCCCAACAACCTATCCTATTATCCAAAACCTTTGTGTTTGTTCGTCTATGCTTGACCAATACCCGATCCATGTGACTGGCGATAATATCGTATTGCCTGTTATTAAATGTTTGTTAGTGGACAAATGGAGCCTTGCGTCGGTTTAAAGCTCCGGCCTATAAAAACGAATTATGTTTATTTCTTTTTATTTTACAATTACCATTAAATTTATTCAATTTATCGTATCTTGATGAATGAGAGCCTAAACTAAAAAACAAAAATATCAATTATGTGAATCATGTCATATTGTATACAAAAATTGCAATGTATAAATTTTAGTTAATAAGCAAACTGCTAATATGCAAAACATCTCTACAAATGGAACTTTTGTTTATTTCTACTTTTTTTAATCTGAAATATCTGAAAATTTATCTAAGTCTTTTCAAATATTTTTTGTTTCTATAATCTATTGACGTGAAAAAGAACACAGCTATAATTTTTTTTCCTATTAATAGCAACAAATTAAGCAACAAAATCGTAATAATGTAATTCTTATTCATTAAGCTGAGCAAAACAAAAAAGGAAAAAAATAAACAAAGAAATACACAACAATTTATTAGCAAAACAAAACAAATCTTAAAATTTATCAAAGTCAATAAAATAATGTTTCAAAATGTGTGTAATGCATTAAACTTTATTTAAACTTAAATATTATTATTTGAAATGTTTTGTTTATACCAAAAATTATAGTACAAATTCAACTAATTAAGCGAATACAAAAAGTGCAACAATACAATTCACAAAAAAAGAAAAAGAAAGTAAGAAAAACAAAAACGCAGCTGTTTTTTATCAAAAGGCAGCCAATATTCAAAAATTAAAGACCAACATAAGCGAAAAGCTTTCTGACGTTAAATACAAAATGAAAAAAAGAAAAATACAAAACAATATTAATTAACAAAGATAACCCCCAAATGAACCCGAAGAAAAGAACAAGAATCTTTCGTATTAAGACGATATAAAAAGTTCATCGAAACAGATATTTATATAGATAAACACAAATCTTCGTCTAAAATATTTAAACTGATGATTGAAAAAAAAAAAACATAAAAATTTAAGAAAGAGAAAGACCAAAATTATATTAATGAGATAAACCTGAAGAGTTTAAAGACTCATAGTAATTAACAAAAAAAAAAAAGAAAACAATTACACACATATTTGGTAAGTTAAGCTGAAAGCCTTTTTAAGGATAACATTCCTTATTAATTATAAAAACTTTGAACTAAGTGACAACTCAACTCTCATTATTAAATACTCGAAATATAACGAACAGAATCACTTTAAAGCATTCAAAATGATAACAAGCCCATTTATTTGCGGGGCAACTCTATGTCCGTCCATTTGTGTCAGAATAGACTCTACTGAGTTTATGTATCGACCCTATAGCTCTCTCTGTAGTCTGCAAGACTATTTTGTATATCTAAATATAAAGAAATGTTGAGTTTTATCACGTTAAATTGCGGTCCTTGCCGCATTTCTATCAAATTCACGTAGCTTTAGTTTTCTTTTTACAGGAATGAGAAAACTATAAAAACAAACAAACAAAAAAGTAAACTAAACGAAAATCGTTTTGAAACGCTTTTGAAGTGTGAAGCAAGCAAATCAAAGGATTATTTAAAGGTGACAATATCGTGATATAAAAAATACAGGATCGAACTATTTTGAAAATAAATAATATAAACTTTGTTTGAGTTATTGCACTTTTATGTTATTTACACTTTTGTTATGTGAAAAAACATTTTATTTTTAATTTGAAAAGTAAAAGAAAAATCAAACAAAAATTATTTGAAAGGCTAAAAAGTAGAGAATAGTAAATATAATAAAGAAAACAACAAAGTGATATATGAAATCAGAAAAGACTGAACAATACAAAAAATCTATTTTAAAAATAAACTAAGGCATTTACATGTTTTTTATTTTATTTCCCCAATGCCACTAAATGAGATATAAATATCTTGGGAACTAAGCCATACTAAAAGTAAAGAAAATATAAAAAGTATACATTCAAAAACAAAAGACAAAAATATTTTCAAAGAGGCAAAATAATAATTAAAACCAAAAACAATAATATTACTGTAGGTACTCCAAATATTTTATTATTTTTTCAAGTAAAAAAACATTCGAATTAATTTGATGCCCTTAGAAGAATTTGTTGGTCTTGTTTATGCAGCCCATGCAATTATGAAAGAAACTGAGAATTAACAGTAAAGCTAACTGAATTTCATATGAAACCAAAGTACGAAGATTTAAATAACGATTCAAGCCAAATCATAAATCTGCAACTAAATCGTTTGTTAAGATTTTTTATAAAACCAAAAGACTTTTACAAACAGTATTCATTTCACTATTTAATGTGAAAGGCTTTATTTACGTTTTGCTCTATTATTTGTTTAATTTTTGTTTATTTAAATAATTTACTTAATAAAAACAGCGTACAATGTAAATGAAAACCAAAAATATGCGAATTAACAACATTTTATCAACTATGCAGAATTTTTAATACGTTTCTATTACAGCAAGCTAAAGCAAAATAAATATAAACGGCTAAAACCGATTGGAGCGATTAAACAAATACAATTGTTGATCAACGGAGCCCGGCACTTGAAATTAAATAAGTTCCATTTTTCGTTGTGCAGCAGAATTTGTGAAATACTAATATACACACATACAAAGTAATTGTTTATTATACGCATAATATTTATATAAATTGGGAATAACCGGGATCGCCTGTATATACGTGATGTAATTCTACATTAACTTGAAATTTGCTTAAAATAAATTATTGAAGAGGATCAGATGTTAATATGATGGAAACGGATGTAGCATTCGATCAACTTTTAATCCTTTTTCTATATTCTTTATTGAGTTTAAGAAAATATATTTAAAAAAAAAGGCCATAATAAAAAAATATATAATAAAGTATAATACAAATCTAAAATCCCGTCCAGCTATGAACAAATTTAGTAATAAATAATAGTGACTTGAAAATGTCTAAGTTTTGTAGATGCTTGTAAATTCATTTATTTAAACTGTTTTGTTGATAGTTTAAGTTATAATATCCTCTCATCTGGTCTTGACAATCCAAAGTCTAATTAAATACTGAACTCCAGGTCCGTTTCACAACAGAAAGTCCGTTTTTTATCAAAAAGTCCGTATTATATGATCTATAGTTTTACTTTAATATTTAGTTTTATTTTTGGATTCTAATCAAAATCTTTACGAACCAATAAATAAAATTAAAAGTACTATCCGACTCAGCAACTATTTTTAAGGATATCGAATGTATCAAAAAATGTCGAAGTGCATTTAGTTTGAGAAGATTAAAAGGAGAATTTATTAAACAAAATTAAGGGATTTACAATTTCGTACAGGAGTTACATGTTACATATTAATAGTTAATTTTCGCAAGTGCCTTATGTGCGGGAAATCTACCATTTATTATTAGTGAATATTATGTGGAATAAAGTATGATTTATACAATTTTTATTTGTAATTGGCAATAATAAAGTGCTCCAAAATAAAAAGCTTTTACAAAACAATCGAATACATCAACAAGTATAATACGTTTTCGGGGGTCCTTGGCGAATAAATATGTACAATTTTGAAAAGTTCACACGTAACTATATCGTATACATTTTTTCGATTATTGAACTAGAGAGCTTCCAAGTTGATTAATTAACGATTAAACGCTGTTGTGCCGAGAGAGTAAATTATGCATATAAGAAGAAGACGCCATTTTGTTGTTGATCAGTGCGAAAAACATGAGTAGTCGGGGTCGTGTCGCTGAATCGATTAGAGATGGAATTGAACTCTGTGAAGCGCCTTAGCGACGCTTGCCAAAACGCAAGAAGACATGATCGACATCTGTGCGTTTGTTGTAGTTCTTCAGCAGATCCTCGGAGTTAGCCACAAGAGCTGTAAATTGAGAAATATATTTATATATATTCTAATACTTCGTGCATGAGTTGCTAACCAGATGCCTCGCTGTTGATGTAGGACCTGAGTACCGAGTTCAATTGATCAGAGTTCTCCAGTGCCGCGCATACCTTTTTGATATGTTGCGGCATCTCGTCGAGTATGCCGGGCTGGCACAGTGGGGTCGGGGTGGCCGCACTGTGCGCGCACACAGCCAGCAGGACGATGGCAACTAAGCAGATCGCAAACATCTGTACGTGGGACATCCTGCAAGTAGAGCTCGAAGCTTAAAGCTTGACAAATATGGTTTAAATTCCCCCCAGATAATAGCTCGTGAGCGAAGCCCTCAGGCTAAGTGCGCCTAACTAATTTTGATTAACTGATATAATTTGAATGCTACGTGCGTGATTATTGTTGCCAAGACAATGGCTTCAAGGTGTTCTAAAGGAGTTATGCCTGGCTGCCTGCTTGACGAGCTGACTAGCTTACTGCCTGCCTGCCTAGGGGCAATATTTTATATTTCTTTTTGTTTTAAATCCAAATCCCAGCAAAACTTGATGACAACAGCCAGAAGACGTCGCTAATGTGTTTACGTGCCAGACAATTTGTTTCTATTACATGCCTCAGGTGGAGCGGAGCAACTGCCTGTCCTCCAGCGTGATGAAGATGTATATTTGCACATATATATGTAAGTACGCCCCATAGAACGAACGATGAGTCGTGCTTGCATACACACATACATACATACATATATACGAGAGGCTGTGTCAACAATCCTGTTAACTGACTAACATGCATTTACGTGTTGCTCATGCATTTAGGGAGCTTAGAAACAGTTGCAGCACTAGTACTATCAATAGACTGACTGTTTTCTCGACAACTCTCTATGGATGAGTGCGTCAGTCGATGGACAACAGGTATTACATATGTTTCTATTAAGGACAGCGCGAATCATAGAAAAGCATGCCTAGGTACAGTCTGAAAGTGCATCGTTTTTGTGAATGTTATAATTAAACTACAAGACTTAAGGCTTCTATTATGTGTAGTACCAGTAAAGTATATACACAAACATACAGCCTTTTCCCCGTATCATAATAATATTGTAATACATTATTTTTGGGTAAAACAGATAGTTCATAGAGTTTTGATTTATTCAGAATTTGCAGCTGAGTCTGCCAAAAATATTATTCTTAGGGTTCCCAACTAGTTTTGATGCAAAATAGGACTCGAAATCTTTGATTCTTATTGAATGTATTTCAAGGTATATTAGGATCGACATAAAGTAAGCTAAATATATTGAATAAATTTGAGCAACTGTTTAAGTTCTTTCTATGTTAATAATGGCTGCAAATTGATAAAAAATATATAAATTCTAGTTTCTAATAAAATTCTACTTTTTAATAAAATTAGTAATTGTCTAAGTTAGTTGAGTTTAGCCTGAGTAGAGAGAGATGAGATATTAAAGTAAATAAACAAAAGTAAGAAGTTAAACAGATACATATTTTGAAGTAATAAATTAAGATAAGGACTATTGAAAATAGGCCAAATATTCTAATGTGGTTATCCCAATAAAAAAGCACACATTTTTAATATATTTTCAACTATTAGAATTATTGATAAATGTATAGTTCTTTCTAAAAGTATTAATATCAACTGTTAAGCTTTCGAGGAAACTTTCTAAATTTTAGTACACTCTAAATACCTGTTGATTCTTCTTGATGCACGTTAGTTAAAAGATCACTTAGAATACGACTTCAACAGCTTTCAAGTGTTACGATGGAAATACTATGTGAGTTTTCACTGCTTGATTGAAACGAACTTGTTGAACGCAGGCACTCGAATGATGGTCTGCTTTGACAGGACATCGGCTTTTATTTACTTCCGCTGGGCACGCACACAGAGCAAATGCAAGCACGCCATTGGCTGACATACAGTTACACGAGCAGTCACACACACACACACACACACACACACACGACAAACGACCACATGTTGAGCTTAAGCAGATAGAGACAGTAGCACGCCGGTTGGTGGGCGTACACAAATATTGCGTATACGTCAACGACGCCAGCCCAGCAAATGTTGGATGTAATGCTGGGTACTTTTGCAACTTTAGACAATAGCGTAAAATGGAGACACAAACATGCCGCTCAATATGTTATTATATAAGTTTTATCAGCTTTTAATTATGTTATAAAAGCGCATTGTTTATGAGCGTCGCCCACTTATAGGTAGTTAATATTGCACTTACGAGCCATCTATCACAATTGATAGACTTATGTTAAAGCATCCTTCGTTTGCCTTTAAGTGAATCTATGAATGTCGTTAGCTACACCTTGGCTGCATTGTCCTTAGACACTTACAAGCGCTGCTTCAGTTGCTCTAAGTCGGTAAATAAAGTAAAGTAAGTAAAGTTAAGTGACGCGAAGTCAAATAATCTTCAGTTTATGAGGTTGGGATTTGCAGGCGAAACGTTGCAATTAATTTGCCATGGCGCGTGTTTGGCATGCAAACTTTTTGACAAGCTAGACTCTGACTATTTACATATTCTACTGACTAACTGACTGACTGTCGAAAGAGGGCGAACTGTACATACATACATATAACAAAGCGAACGAACAACTTGAATTAGTGTCAAGAAATTACTTACGAAATTCAGTTTGTCGATTTTGATGCATTACCCACTATACTTTCCAAATGAATACTAAAATTGTTAATATAATAAAAATTTTAAAATAATATAATATATAAAAAGTTAACAGCAATATGTATTACATTACAACTGTTCCTTGTGCTTGGAAATGGAGGCTAGGATATAAAATTATAAAGCATTGTTACTCTGGCTATTTTTACCAAGTGTTGTTTTTTATTTATTTTACTTTTTAATTTGGGTGAGTCGGTAAAACAAGCACATATTTTCAACAACATTTCGTAAAATCTTTTATACATGTATGTAAATTGAATGAGTGAGTGCGTTGTAGTTCTTAATTTTGTTAATCTATTTCCCACTCAATTTCGGTTGCATTAAAGTTTTATTATTACAGCCCAGTTATTCTTACCAATATGCCACTACCTTAAAAGAAATGCACACGATATTTCATTATTTAGACTCTTGCTGTAAAACATTGATACAAATTGTTGCCCGATTTCTGAGCGATCAGCTATATAGATATAGATTAGCTTGACGCTGAATAGTTGAATATAGTAATATTATAATTGTAATAATTTCTCGCATTTGCGAAATTGAAGTGACTGCAAAGATTTATTTTATTTATTTTAAATTTTGACTGCCTCTCATAAATTGCAGCGAGCAGGACTTTTAAAAATACCTATTTATATACATATATTTTAAGCATAAGATAAACATTATCCTATGCTTATTAGGAACGAGTAATTAGCGTTAATATATTCGACATTTATCCGAACTCTGGTATTATAACTTATTCTACTTCCTAATAAATAGAACTGGCATACATATGTATATAAAAGTTTCCTTCAAATTCCCGTATGATAAAAGCAAATCTCTCAATGTTAATGTGCTCCGCTGTGGTGCAGTGTATCAGCGGATTTGGCGGATGTCAAATGTGTAGGTCACAGTATGGCCCACTAACAAGGTTACTTAAACACATTTGTGGTCTTTGATGCTGAGTGCAGAAATCAGGTTAAACAGCATAGCGGCTGCCATATGTGCACATAGTGCGCCGGAGGCCCGAATGGAAAGGGACGCAGAAGTGGGCAGAGAAATGGAAACGGCAATGAGAATGGAAGTGGGAAGTGGAAATGGGAATGGTAAGGGGTCTTTTACATGCGCCTCAGCCGCTGCCGTTCATGGGAATGGAAGCGGACAATGTTGCACGAAATTTGCACACAATTTGAATAAATTGATTGAGTTATAGTTGACTAGTTCGAACGATTCGGGGCCATAGTTCGCCAACGCGAGCATTAACATTTAAATTATTTTCGCAAAATCACATATGGGCCCGTGTACTTTCAACGGAATTATATAAATAATTTTAAAGTATTTTATTGTAGTATGATAAACTTAGTTTGATCTGACGAGGTCGTACTTATAAACATTTTGATTGACTTTTATGTTGAAGATTTATTTGATTTATATGAACATTTACAAAAAAACTATAATAATTGCACAGTTAACCCAGGGGACGAAGTGGCTCTTGAGCTCAGCCAAGGATCAGTCCAAAAGCTTAGCGACTATGGGATCGGGCGCAGACATCGCATAGCCCAGATGCTGCAGGGCGCGCCTGATCTCGCTGAAGACGCTGGCGTCGTCAATGGTAGCCGGCAGCACGACACGTTCGTTCCTGGCAAAGTCGGCCATGGCCTTGCGCATCGTCTTGCCGGAGCGCGTGCGGGGCAAGTTTTTGACCGAGGTGATGAGGCGGAAGGCTGCGATGGGACCCACAATGTCGCGTATGAGCTTGATAATCTCAGCAGAGAGCTTGGCGTCGGTTTTCTTGCACGTCTCGACGGGTATATAGAGACAGAGCGGCACCTGACCCTTAGTTGGCTCCGGCACACCGAATACGGCTACGTCGACCACGTCTGGATGCCGCAACACAGCATCTTCTAGACTGGAGGTGGACAGACGATGGCCGGCCACATTGATGACATCATCATCACGGGCCGTAACGAAAACATAGCCCAGCGCGTCCTTATACCCGGCGTCCATCGTATCATAGTAGCCCTGCAAGTACCATATATGATGTTAGCAAATCAAGGATCTGTATAGTCAAGTTGCATGACTTGCCGGAAACTTTTGGAAGTAGAGCTTGCGAAAGAGCTCGTCGTTCCTATAGAGTGTGGCCATGTTGCCAGGGGGCAGCGGCAGCTTCAACACAATACGGCCTAGCTCAGAGGGCTGCGCCTCAGTGCCATCCTTTTTCAAAATCTTAACTGTGAAGAAAAGTAAAATAATTACTAAGGTAAAGATCTATGAATAACAGTGCTTACCATCGTAGCCCATCAGGGGCAAGCCGGTAGAGTATATGGGCGGAGTGAGACTGTGCTTCAGGCCCAAGCAAGTCGCAGTTATGGCCGAGCCCGTTTCCGTTTGCCACCAGTGGTTCAGCACCGGCACCTTGAATGTCTTCTCTATCCAAGCCTTGGTCTCGTAATCGCAATGCTCGCCAGCTATGAAGATGGCCCGCAACGACTTCATGCAGTACTGGCGGCCGTAGCTTATTTCCGGATCGGCGCGACGTATCACACGGAAAGAGGTCGGCACGGAGAAGATGCCGCACACCTTGTAGTGGTCGATTATTCTGTAAAAGGGACACCACCATTTATAAATTACCAAATTATGAGCAGAATTTCAGGTTAAAAGTACCTAAAGTACTGTCCCGGATCCGGCGTGCGATCTGGTTTACCCTCGTACATGACGCTCGTGGCACCCAGGCAGAGGGGACCGTAGCATATGTAAGAGTGCCCCACAACCCAGCCCATGTCGGAGGCAGCCCACCATGTATCGCCGGGCTTAATGCCATAAATCATCTTCAACGTGTACATTAAGACCACCAGGTGGCCGCCAATTGTGCGCAGCACACCCTTCGGCTTATCTGTGGTGCCCGAGGTGTAGAGTATATAGAGTGGATCGTTCGCTTCGATGGGCACACAGGCCACTGGCTGCCTAGCATCGGCCATGCCCTGCACAGTTGACCAGAGCACATCCAGCTTGTCGTCCAGGATGTCGGACGCCACCTTCTCGCGCATGAAAATAATGTTGCGTTGCGGTGGCTTCCAGCGTGACATATTGATGGCGGAGTGGAGTATGTCCAGATATGGCACCACCTTGCCGGGCTCCACGCCCGCATTGGCAGCGATCACGACTTTCGGTTCGACGTGCTCAATGCGCGAGCAGAGCTCACGTGCAGCAAATCCACCAAATACCACCGAATGTATGGCTCCAAGGCGAACTATAGCCAGCATTGCGATTATGGTCTCCGGTATCAGAGGCATGTAGATGACCACACGATCGCCCTTACCAACGCCCAGCTTGGCCAGGCCGCCTGCCAGCAGAACAACCTGGTCGTACAGCTCCTGGTAGGTGACCTTGCGCACCGTCTCCGTGAGCGGACTATCGTGGATGAGGGCCACCTGGTCGCCCCTGCCGGCCAGTATGTGCCTGTCCACGGCATTGTAGCAGGCATTCAAATAGCCGCCCACATACCACTTAGTAAACGGCGAATTGCTGTTGTCCAGCACCTGCTGCCAGGGCCTGTCCCAGTCGAGCAATTGGCCCAGCTCCTCCCAGAAGGCAACGGGATTCTGCACAGACTTGCGGTACAAGTCCAAATAGAACGGGTGATGCGCATCCACTGGCATGCCATATATGGTTGAAGCACCTTGATAGAAAGAGCATTAGTCCATCAGTTAGCTAATAGTTTTCGAGTTCATTGCACTGTCCAATTGGATTTTCAGGGGCTCATTAGGTGCTGCATAAATTTTGGGGCTCGATAGCGCTAAAGCAAAACTAATTTACACTTTGGCGACATACGATTTTGTATACATAGTCTATAAAGAATCTACGTCGCACATTGACTATATACATACATATATATGTATATGGAAGAGGGTATCGGAAGCAATCGGCAGACAGAGCAGCATAATTATACAAGTTCTATTGAGTCGTATATGTATATATATTGCTATCAATATGTCTGTGAATGGATAATATTGAGACTATGCTGATTTGATAGGAAGTTGCAGAAATTGCTGTAAAAATTAGTTCATTAATTTTTAAAACAACGCTTTTTTTATCACTTGGAAATTTGTGATATATATGTATATTTAAAAATATATATGACTTTAACAAAATTAGAGAATATACTAATTTATTAATTTTAAATATTTATAGTATATACTTCACAAAATAAAGTAATTATTACTTTAAATATATTATTTTCGTTTTACTTTTGGCTGGAAATATATACACATATCTTCTGATATATTTTATATGAAGGCTTAGGTTATTTTGCGTTTTCGACATTTATGCTAATGGTCTTGTATTTTTGCTTTTCATTCTTTGCTGGTTTTAAAGGTTAGTTCTCGACACTTACTGCCTTCAGCATTGGGTTTTCTCACTGCATCAGTAGCCAGCTCCATTAAATCGAGAGTTTTGGTCAATATGTCACTTGAACAATCAGTTTATTAGGTATATATTTATGTGCAGTAAATATATCTACAGTATATATAGATCCTCTATACACTTTATTGTGAAACGCCGCTCTAGCTTGGACACGACCGTCGCATTGAAGTCGAAACGTTACAATGATATTGAAATGTTCGCACGGCAAGTGAAATCCAGAACTCAAAAGTATGGGATCAAAGGTGTAGCACGACTCTCTCCAAGTGAGTATTGAAAAGTTTTCGAATCGTATCACACTCTCGTCGCATAATACAAAGTTTCTGTAATGAGCGTATTTGATTTTTATATAGAGCTAAACTCAACTCAAAATATGTAGGAACAAGCAAGACCTAAAAAACGAGAAATAAATAAGGTGAACATTGAATAATGAGGAAATTCCCAGTGCCTTGAATAACTATTACGTGAAGCGTAAACCTGGGTTCTGTTGTTATACCAAAGAAGAGAATTTCGAAAATTTACTTTAAATTTATCGTATCGCTTGTACTCTTAAGAACTCAATTCAATTTCGTTTAGCTTCTTGAGTTGCTCATTCTTAGAACCTTTCTCTTCAATTCTCAATCCATTCAAGCATATGTTGTGGGGTTAATATACCTTTCACGATGTCGCTCACCCCGATCATTTGTATTGTCTTCCGACATACTTTCATATCATCCATGACAATGTTTTAAAATTAGGTGCTTTTACATATAAAAGTAATTTATTGTTTCTTCTTATTCTTTGTGCTTGGAACTTTTTGTAACTACCGTTAATATTTTACAAAAATATATAAATGTATTTATTCGTCGTTTATTTCTTCTTCTTATGCTTCTTGGATTTCTTCGCTGGGGGCTGTGCATTAGCAGGTGTGACCACCTCCGTCGTTGTTTCAACGCTGAATCCCTTGATGTACGGTTTCACCAGCTTGAACACCAGTTTCTCATGCTGTACGTTGGTCGAGTCTAGACTCAATCTAACAGTGACGGGATCAAAGGAATGGAAAATCACATTGCCACACCGTTGCGTGTGGTCTTCCTCATTGAATGTAAATATAACTTCGCTCTTGGTGCGCTCCAAGCCGTCCTTGCCATCCTTATCGCTTTTCAGATACAAAGTGCCCTCCAATCCGTATTTGGGTATAAGAACCTGCAATGCGTTCTTCCGCACGAACAAGACATAACTGAAAAAGTTTCATTTAGATGTAAGTCCAACACAGTTTCTTATTAACAACATACCCTTCCTCATCCTCTTCCTTTCCACGGAAGAACATATGTGTATTGAGTGCAACTGATGCGCGACCAGCGTATTGCGCCATTTTATGCCGGTAATTCAAATTGTTGCAAATCTCTTCATTGGACTTGCGGTCTAGCAACTGGGCATATGTACTGTCTGCACCTATGGAAGCTGCCAACAGGCGATGCACCATTATATCCGAATACCGACGAATGGGTGAGGTGAAATGAGTGTAAATTTCTGCGGCCAAGCCATAATGGAAGAACTCCTCCTTTTGCAGGCTTCCACTTATGAAATACACAGCCTGCATCATGCATCGTGTGGCTAAGATGCGTATCATCGTGTTGAAATAAGGGTTGTCGGCCTTGACACATTTATCCAGTGAATGCGCCAGCTCTAACCCGGTATCCGTAACCACCTCGAAGCCCTGATAGCGGGCTGCTTTTATTAGCGGATCGAAGTTGGTCGTTGGGGGCTTCGGATGACGGCGCAAGACTGCGCACTCCGTGAACTCTGCAGCAATATGCTGAGCCACGCTTATATTTGCCAACAACATGAACTCCTCGACCATTGAGTTGGTATCGCGCATTTGCTTGGCTTCAACCTCAAGCGGCTCATGCGTCTCACTATCCACTTGAAAGCGAATCTCAGGCGAGGCGAGCACCAATGCACTAAAAGGAAAATGTAGCTATTAAAGAGCACATAGATATTATCAGATACCATACCCGTTGTCCATACGCCGCTTTTTTAGTATTTTTGCCAGTGAATTCAGATGACGGAGCGACTTGGCAATCTCGCCCGTTTGTGATTCATCATCGATAATTGCCTGCGCTTCCTCATAAGTCATGGCGCGCTTAGACTTGATGACACTCTTGTGAAAACGCTTAGACAATATGTTCGCTTGATGATCTACTTCCCACACAACGGAGAAGGCAAAGCGCTCCTCGCCACCAACCAACGAGCAAAGGTTGGAGCTTAACAACTCCGGCACCATGTCGATGCGCTTTCCAACCAGATAGACAGTTGTGCCACGCGCGGCAGCTTCTTTGTCCAGCGCATTGCCTGGTCGTATGAAATGGCTCACATCGGCAATGTGCACACCCACTTCCAAGTTACCGTTGGGCAGCTCGCGGCAATGGAGGGCATCGTCAATGTCCGTGCAACCGGGCGGATCTACTGAGCAAATACACAAATCGCGTAAGTCTACGCGCTTGGCATAGTCCTCCTCGGTAATAGTCCAAGGCATTTTGGGCAAGAAACTGAGAACCTCTTCAGAGAACTTGCAGTGCGGCACATCATGCTCAAGCAAGATCACTTCATTCTCGGTGACCATGTTGCCCAGTGCGCCCAGGGATCGGACAAAGTGGCCATGCGGATAGCGCGAGTTCCTTGGCCAACTATCAATGGTCACAACGATGCGTTGGTTTTGTAGATTAGCTGCTTGGCGAGTTTCAATACGTATGCGCGGGATCTTGCGATCGGCGGGAACAAAGATGTGCCGTGTCGTATCCTCTATTAGGCTGGGCTGCAAAATGCCACAATACTGACGCCACTTGCGACGCACAATACCAACGATGCGACCAGTGGGAGTGCGCTCCTCAACTGGTGCAGCTTGCAATTGTTGCAGCATTTCCATCTCCTCTTCTTCACGCTCTTCACTGGGCACGTCGTCTGCGTACACATTTTTCTCCTCCAACACTATCTCACTAGGCGCTGACCATTCACTTTCAGGCAATAATTCGACGGCAACAATGTCTCCATCCACGGCACGGTTAAGAGACTCGCGGCCTTGTATTAAAATCTGTGAATTATAATTTTATTAAAATTGTATAGAGTCGATATATGGCATTATCTAATAAAACAATTGCCTTACGCCTTTCTCATAACTCTCCACGTTGACATTGCCTTCGAGATAGTTCTCCCTGGATGCCTGGAACGAGCCTTGCACCAGCTTTTTGTGGCGCAGTCCCTCAAGTATTTCTTTCATACTTAAGTGCGGCGGATATTGGGGCAGCGCTTGTTTCTCATTTTCAAATGTCTTTTGGGACAGCTTGTCGATAAGCAAAGGGTAGTCCTCGAGGGATTTAACATAGTCTGCAGCAGTGGCTACTAGAATACCCTCAGCCTCGGCTTTGGCACGATTGCCAGCATCGTCGGTCAGGAGTACAACACGTGTGACACTCCGTCCACTGCGCTCGAAGGCTTTCGAGTCTTGGGAGGTTTGTAGATGAGAGTCGTACCACTTGGCAGCCAGACGTATGGCGCGATCATTTCGATCGTTGGCACTTTCATCAGGCTCGCGATCAGCATAGGTGTCCCTAGTGAGTATAAAATTAATGTGGTTCTTGTTAAGTACTGAAAAAAGTATACTCACTTATGATGTTCATTGACAAAGACATAGAAGTTGCGTTTGCGATCGTGAATAATCTCATTAAAGCGCTTATAAATGGAAGAGCTCTTGTGCTTAACTTCGTTCAGCACCGTGGTGAGTACGATTACATTGCGCAGCACATCCTCTTCAAGCACATCGATTTGGTCCAAAACCACGTTGGTATCCAAAACAATATAGTGTGGAAATTTGAAAAGACTGCTCTTAATATCGTGATTCGATGTCAACTGGTAGACCTCATTCTGGAAACAATACTGACAGAGGTCTGAGCCGCAACCAATGTCATCACGAAGGTAATGCTCTCTAACAATTTTCAATATGTTACCGCGTTTTGTTTTACGCGTAAATTCGCGTAAAGTCTGCATGTTTATAATAAAACGAAGTAACCCTACAATTCAGTAGCGTGCCGGAACAAGGGGACACATGCACGTTCCGTCAGTGTATCGATAACAATATCAAGCTTCATACAGCATTCGAAATTAATAAGAATATTTGCTCAGTGAAAATAAATGTTAATGAAATATTTTAAGGTACTCATTTTTATTGTGTATACCGTCAAGGTATAATCTTTATTACTAATTAACGCTTTTTGTGTTTATATTAAATCGTACCATCATTCGCTTTTCAAAATTGTTGCATTTTTGTATTTTGCAACACATTCAACGACCATTGCGCAGCACTACTATTGCATTTGTGTTGAGAAGTCCAGCACGTGTACGGGGCACATTGCGGTGTTTCGTTTAAATTATTTAGCGTTCGCTACACAATCTTTAGAATGGGTTCGCATGAGAAAAGCTTTCCGCGCGGCGGAATAGCAAATTTAGTAGCAAATACGGACAGCAGCACATCAAATATCGTAAGTAATCTGTACAGAGAGCCATCCAAAATCTAATTCTGTGTTTTGCGACCTGCAGGTTTTTGGTGCCACACAGCGAAAGATTAAGAAGGCGCCAAAGTTAAAAGAAAAACATCTTGAAGAGGAGAAAGGTGATCAGCTGCAAGCATTCTCCGCTGAAACACTTACATATGACACACTCCAGGAGAATATGCTCGTAATGGGCGTCGTGAAAGCAACGGAGGCTACCTCTTTGCAAATAGCTCTGCCCGGTCGAATGACAGCGCGTGCTTTAGTAGCCGATATATCGGATGCATACGGACGTGTTGCCCAATCCTATATGGCTGGAGACAGCAGTGAATATCGCGACCTCACTGTGCTGTTCAGCATTGGGCAGATCGTTTATGGACGCGCTATAAAAACAAGGAACAATTCCGAAGGCAATCGCATGTCCCTACTACTAACTCTTAAACCGAGTGAAGTGAATAGTAGCCTCCACCATGTCAACATCAAAAAGGGCTTTATTTTCGTTGGTGCTATAGAGGAAATCCAAGAGCATGGCTGTGTAATTGAAACAGGCATTGGCGGATTGCAGGCGTTTGTACCCATTGAAGGTGCTGCACAGAAGCATCACATCGGTCAGTTGATCTTCTTGAAAGTGAAGCAAATTCAACACGGTTCCGATAAAAGCACCTGCCAATGTGTCTGCGTGGAACAGGATAAATTGAAGATTAAAAGTCAGCACGAGACAAATCTTGATTATATACTACCCGGGAGTATCGTCAAGTTCAAGGCGACAAAACATCTTAAAAATGGACTGGAAGGCAGCATCATGAATGACGCCTTTAGGGGATATGTAAACGAGCATCACTTGGCCGATGCTCTGCAATCGCCGCAGGATTATGAGCTGAACGAAGAGTACCTGGCTCGTCTACTTTACGTGATGCCCCTAACTAAGCTGGTATATGTAACATTTAATTTAAATATCACAGTTCAACCTGAACAGCCAGAATCGGAAGGGGAAGAGCTCTTGAAGAAGGGTAGCATCGTGGAGAAGGCACGTGTGCTGCGCCATGGCACAGGTGGCATCGTGCTGCTGCTGAAACACAAGTATAAGGGGCTTATTTCGTATGGCTCCATCAAATCGAACTTCAAGGGCAACTACGACCAGGACGTTGTGCTGGCCAAGTACAGCAGCAAGAGCAAGCACAACGTGCGAGTGCTGGGATATGATGTAATTGAGTCTCTTTACTATTGCACCGATGATCCCAACGTGCTGAATGAAAAAACGTACACTCTGGAGGACATTCAAGCAGGCGACATTGTTTCAGCTCGCATTGTCAAACCAGATCCAAAAATTGGCGGCTACAGTGTTAAAATAGGGAAAGTTAATGGAATCATAGAGCAACTGCAATTGGCCCCAAATACGCGCTACGAAGTAGGACAGCGCCTGCGCTGCCGTGTCTTAGAGATCTCCCTGGACCGGAAGATTTGTTATTTGAGCAATCGCAATGAGTATCTAAGCAAAGGTATCAAGCTACTGACTTCCCTGCAGTTAGCTCAGCCCGGGCACGTATTTACGGGAACCGTGGTGAAGTGCGACGCCACCTATGTGCTGGTCAAGTTTTGCAGCGGCATCAAGGGAATTCTACACAAGCAACGCCTGAACGAGTTGGTAGAGAGTACATTTTTCGAAGGCCAGACTACAAAGTTTCGCGTTGCTGGGCGGAACAACGACCAAGTACTCTTAACATTGCCCGAGGACAAGTTTCAGCTTGGCGAAATAATTCCCATTGAAGTGACAAATAATGCCTTGGATGCTGGCTTGGAATTTAAAATAACCTTCGCTAGCGATGATCAGAATGCAGCCACGACTGGTGATGAGGACAATACGGAGGAGTTTATGGGTCTGGTACCACTTCGTTTCCTATCGGACTACGTGGACTTGCAGGAAGCAAAGAAGCGCATTCATCCCGTTGGCAACCATATCGAAGCAGCCTGCATCATGCAGAACATTTTCAGTTTGCGCGATGTGCCGTACTTCAGTGAGAATCTGACCAAGGATTGGCATACCGTTCAGGTGGGCGATGTGCTGCGCGCCATTGTTAAGCATGCGGGCGAAAAGGTGCTGGAACTACTGCTACCCGTGCGCAACTATAACAAACTTGTTAAATTGCACGTGAAGATGTTGTGTCTGCAGACCGTGCGGGATAAGCCCATCATGCTGGAGCCTGATCAGCTGCTGTATGTCAAGGTGCTCAGCAAGGAACCGGAGACTAAAACGTTGACTGTGTCAGCCAAACTAACAGATGTATGGAGCGGCCAGCTGTCCGACACAGCAAAATTAGTGGAGAGGTAAGACATACTTATTTTCCAAATTGATACTCGTATTAACAGCATAATCCTTTCAGCTACTTAAAGGAAGTGTCACAGATTCGAAAATCATTGAAACAAATGGACGCACCCATTGCCAAATACACAAGGGGGGAAAAAATTAATGTCATCTTTAGGGGAATCGATTCGGCGACCAGTAACTGGGTCTATAATGTGGAGGGCACAAAATCAATAAGTGCAATGATGATTTCCAGCTTGGCTGGCAATGCGGAAGCTCCTCAGGAGGGTAGTACACAGGAGGCCGTCATTTTGTGGATAGACTATGCTAATGATTTGTTGCTAATAAGCAATAAGAGGAAGGATATTGAGCACATCAGCAGCAGCAAGGAACTGCCTCAAAATTTAATCGCAAAATCCGGCATGAAGGCCAAGGTATTGCTGAAACTCGATAACATTGTGGTGTGCTCCTTGAAGAAGGGTAGCAGCAATCCGCTGATACTTTGTCCAATACGCCTGCACCCCAACGACGTGGAGAGCACAGCCAGTGCCTGTCTACGCCAAGGTGATTTCTGCCATCTGGCATTCATACACGACAACCTGCCGATTGCCCTGCCAGAGGCTGTCTGGAAACTTTGGAAGGGCGTAAAGCGCGCTGCTGTTGAAGCTGAAGAGACGACAGTGAAGCCCAAGAAGATAAAGATAGAAAATAATGCAGCAAACAAATCAAGTCCACAGAATGTCACAAATGGTAAAGAAACTGAGGAGGAAGTGAAGCCGCTGGTGAATGGCAAGAAAAACAACGGACAGCTTTTCTTCGAGGACAAGAAACCAGCCAAGACGAATACGTACAACTCCAAGGCAACAGGTGGGGCAGAAACCAAGGTGCGTTTGCCAGGCATCTCGAATTTCTGGGACACAGATGCATCGAATAACAAGACCCAAGAGGAGTCATCAAGCGACGAAGATGACGACAATGCAGCTGGCGTGGCCGAGCCAAGCTCTAGCAAGAAAAGACGACTTAGTGCCAAGGAAAAGGCGAAGGCTGAGGTCAAGGAAGAGGAACGCTTGCGCGAAATCGAAGAGCGTAATGCAGATCCCAATCAGCCCCCAGAAACAATTGATCAGTTCGAACGTCTGGTGCTAGCGGAGCCCAACGACAGCAAGAATTGGATCCAGTATATGTCCTTCATGTTGTCAAATACAGAAATTGACAAAGCTCGCGAAATCGCGCGACGCGCTATTAAAACGATAGCGTTCCGGGAAACAAAGGAGCTTCGTAACATGTGGATGGCACTTCTGAACTTGGAGCTCAGCTATAACTCATCCAATTTTGATGATGTACAAAAGGAGGCACTGAGCCACACAGATCCACTTGAAACATACATAAAACTCGTCGAAGTACTGAAGTCGCACAATCAGAAGGAGCGCCTGATCAGCGTATTAAACAACTTAATGCGCAAGTTTAAATCAGAGTTGCAGGTCTGGCGTGTGGCTGCCGAAGCCTACTTCTGGCTGGACATGCCGGAACGGGTGCAGCCAACACTGCAGCGTGCGATCAACGCTTTGCCGAAAAATGAACGTAAGGAACGATTTACTTTTTTAGGTATTTATCTAATTTAAAAATAACCATTCCCGTTTGCGTTTTTTCCAGACATTAATTGCATAGTGGCCTTTGCCAAAGTATATGCCAAAAACAATGATAATGACATGGCACAAACTTTATTAGATGACATAGTCACGTCCTATCCGAAGCGAATTGACATTTGGGTGCTATACGCCGACATGTTGATCAAAGCTGGATTAATTGAGTCCGCACGGTATGAGAGTCGATCTGAATTAAATCTATGCTTTTACAAACTGATTTTAATCCCATTACAGAAATTTGATGGAACGTGCAGTGCTCCAAAAGTTACAGCCGGATAAGATGCTTGTTATCTACAAGAAGTTTTTGGATTTAGAAGAGAAGCACGGAACAGAAGAAAATGCGGCCAGGGTTAAGAAACTAGCCGAACAATACGTTCAGAGTCAAAACAAATCGCTAAAATAGGTTACAAAACATATTGGGTTTGCTTCGATATAGTACCTAACTTACCGCATTAAGAGTTCTAGATTAAAATCACAATAGTGCAGCGTCCCCACTCATTGATGAAACTGAATGGCAATTACAGTCGGTCTGTTTTTTGTTGATACTTTATTCTAAGATCTATTTTAAATGAAGTGTGTGATTCTTGGATGCTAATGTTTTAAATATATGTATATTATATATATAGAAATACATACAGCTTGTTGCAGCAACATCCGTATTGCAGCTACATGATAATATGTAGCAGCAATGTTTGACGAGCGTGCGTCGGAAAAGAATAATCATAAACTTGAAACAATGCATGAAGGGATTTGTGTTATATATAGTGAATATGGTTATACATGTGAACACGATTTCCTTAAGTCTAGTCTGGGGGTGGGGGCTTGCTAGCGGGTGAGGATGGCGATACACAGGACACCTGACGTGTTACAATGACAATGAAATTACTCTTACACATTAATCAATAATAAGAAGCAAATGATAGAAAATGTAATTTGCTCATGCAATTATAATTAGTTTATACATAAAACAGTCTTGAGCGCAGCGCAGCTGAGCGCCCAATCTTAATCCTTAAATATGCCACGTGCCTTTGCTGATATCTTCCGCACACGCCCACGGCTGCTGACGCTCACTAGCTGCTCATCACTGTCTACCGTAGTGCTGCCGTCATCATCATCTAGGCGGGGCTGTTGCTCGCGTTCCTGAGAGCTGTTATTGTTGGTCGTAGCTTGAGCATCACCGTTGCGCATACGCTTCCGCTGGCTGGTTCCCTCTGGTTGGTCTTCCTCATCGGATTGCTCATTATAACGCGGACGCTTCTGATTACGGCCACTGCGCTGATTGCTACGAAGACGATTGGGTCGCCCACGCGGAGCCTCATAGTCATCATCATCGTCATCGTTTACAGACTGATCAGAAGCAGCACGAGCACGACGACGTCGCTGCTCGCGTCCCTGCGTTGCAGTCGTTGCTGATGAAGATGACGTTTTGGTTTTACGTCGTGTTCGTCCATTGCTGGGCGACACATAGCTAGTCAAGGGCTGATTGTCTTCAGAGTCTGTGGCAGTTGGTTCATTATCATCATTGCTACCCTGAGAACTGGAACCACCATCAGTGCCTTCGTCAGAGGCAGCGGCCTCCTCTTCAGGCGGCTCGGCCTCTTCCTCTTCACCCTGTGAGTGCTCCTGACTGGTGCGAGCGCGCAACCGACGTGTGCTTACGTTGTTTGTTGTAGAGGTGGGACGTCGAGGATTGGACATAAGAGACAATAGACGTGAACTATTCAGTGGATCAATGCTTGTGTCCAATTCATCCGCATTGCGCTGATGACGCGACAGTACGCGACGAGGAGCACGCGTAGCCGCCGCTGATTCATTGCCCAGATAGTTATGGTCATGGGCAGCCATTGCTGGCTCCTGTTGATTAGAGCTACTCGTTGTTGATGTGGCATGCGACCGCGTCATATGCGTGCTACGTGGCACCGAAGGTAAGCGTCGGCGCAACGTCAACGGATGCGGAGCTGTTGTGTTGGTTCTCGCAGGTCCAGTGGCAGTTTCTGCAAAGCATTCGAATAATAGTATTTAAATGGTTTTCTAGAGTAAGACGATTCTTCGAAACTCACTTTGCTGGTTATTGGCTAAAGGCTCATTATCACTGTCATCGTCATCATCACTCTCCGCAGCAACAGCTACAACGGTATTTCGATTCGTGCGCAGTTGCCGCGATGAAGTGGCAGCAGCAGCTTGACCTAAGGCAGCCCGACTAGTCGAGGGCATATCGTCCTTTGTGGGCGTGGGTAAAATCTGATAGTATATAATAGTAAATGATTATTTATTCGAGCCTTTACAATTTCATTTTTGCGAAACTTACCTCTTCAGCCTCCTCGCTATCATCGTCATCATCCTCGTCGATATCACTGCCACGTGCCCAATCCATTAATGCACGTTTTGCACTCTGTCTGGTGGGTCGCCCAACTGGGCCATGAGAATCCGTATCCGAGTCAATAATACGACCATTGCGAACTGGCAGATGATAGCTGTGATCATTTTCGGCTGCATTCTGAGAGCGTGCTCCATTGGCACGCGTATTTCGTAAGGGGCTCTCAACACTGGAGCCGGCTGAAGCTGCAGCCGCACTAGTGCTTGGCCCATTCCCAACGGCTGTTGGGTTCTTGCTCTTTGCCGGGCGACCTTTCTTGCGGGGTGTTTGACTGTCTTGAGTGCTATCATCTGGCTGGGAATGGGATGCTGCTGTGTGATTCTCATCTTCAGAGCTGCCGAGCAAACGGCGGGTACGACGAGTGGTGGCCACAGCCCCGCCACGACTGCCACCAGGCTGGCTATCCGGATCCAAGCGATGTCTTTTGTTGTTGTGTCTTCGCTTGCTATTAGCTTTGCGCTTGTTACCGCCACCTGCACGACCGCGGCGACGCTCATTTGGATTGTAGCTCTCCTCGGAATCGTTGGCATTGGTCTCATCATCGCTGACATTCTGGCGCGCTGGACGTCCGCGACGGCGACGTACCTGCTGTGGCGAGCTGTCATTGGAGTGCGCTTCTTCATCCTCATTTTCATCGCTGGTAGCATCCGGTGTCGTTTCCTCCTCTTCTTCTTCCTCATCGCTATCCGAATTGCTGCTACTCTCATGGTGACGTTGCTGAGGATTGGACGATGATGATGTAACACGATTAGAGCTCGAGCTTGCGGCAGGGGCGGCCACGCCATTGCGACGTCTATTGGCACGCTGCGAGCCACGCGGCGCTTGTTGTGCCACACTATCATCATCGTCATCGTCGTCGTCATCATCCTCATCTTCTTCGCTGCTGTGTGCTGGCAATCTTCTGGCAGCACCTGGCGGTTTCTGTGTACGTCGTGTGGCACGATCCGGTGGCGTTCGTTTGCTTGGGCTGCTGGACCCGCGCCCGCTGCTACCCGATTTGTTCTTGTTGGCGCGTCTACGCGCTGCCTTCCAACTGCTGATCACCGTCTTTATATGCGACTCGAAGAGCGCACTTAAGCGCAGCGTCATTGCATAGATCTGCAAAAGAAATCCGATTCAATTAGTGAGAAGAGCAACTAAGAGAAGAGTGGAATGAAGTCTGTCAATTGCTGTTGTGTTGTGCTAAAGTAGTAGCCCAAGAGAAACCTTACCGCTAGATTATCCTATTTTAGTTGATTGTCACGGATCGTCATTCATTTGGTTAAGTTCGAAATATTTGATGGGTTTTAATTGAGTCGAGTGATTCGATTGATGATTTATGAGTTGGGTGGTGGTTAATTTGAAGTTTGAAGGCATGTTAACAAATAGCAAAAGAAACGTTAAGAAGAGATGAGCTGGTGTGTGAGATTGTGTGGTGTTAAGCAGTGCGGGAAATTGGAAAAAGAACGAAAAAGAGTTAAGGGTTCCACTCCACGCAAAAACCAATATTGAAGAAAGTAATAATATTAAAAGAACAAAAGAATGCAATGAAGAAATCAAACATGTACATGTGTGAGATAAATAGTCAACGAATCTTAAATATCTCTTTAACATATATCAATCCAATGTATTGTCATGTAATAATGTTCTACTCAGTAAGTCCGAATGTAAAACAATCAATCATCAAGCAAACGTATTCAGTTAGCCTCAATATATAAGTAAATTAAAGGAAAAATGTATTCAAAGAAAGCTTAGTAAAGACAGCAGGAGTAGGGAATATAAATATTGTAGCAATCATTAAAACTATTTGAAATCCAAATAATACAAAAAAAAAGTATAAAAAACCTAGAATTTTGAAAATATTTCAAATTCAAACTACGCTGCCTCAAAGCAAATTTGGAAAAGTGTTTGTTTGGCTATTAGTAACGATTGAATTAACCATTAAGAGGCAGTTTCGATAAAGCAGTAAATTCTCAATTATATAAACGCCAATGACAATTGCGATTGATGCGCACTTGGCATTGGATTGGAATAAATGACGATCTGCAGCAGTACCCAGATCCGGCCAGTGGACTCACCCGTGAGCGTTTATTGGTGTTATAGTTCTTGGAATTGAGGAATATGAGGCGCACATCCTTGGCAAAATCCAAAGGATCATCGTAATTTCCGCCTAGTAGATCCTCTTTGACTGTACGCAGGTCCATCGGTGTGGCAATGATTTCCAAATAATCTGGGAACTCAATCGTATCGACTGGCTCGCGAAAAGGCAATGAATCTGGCCTCTGCCACATCAGATCCAGCAGCTGTCGGCAGTCGGAACGCCAATCGCCATCTGAGCGTATGCGAGTCGAGCTGTTTAAAGAGTAAATTTGAATAAATAATTTATACATAATTCAATTATTTTTATTGGTTTACCGTCGCGTCGACGAAACACGCTGGCGAGCAGCAGCTGCTGATGTCGTTGGACCAGTGCTGGTCGATGGTACAACATCTGAATCAGCTTCATTCTCCGACTCCGATGAGTGGTAAATATCGACCAGCTGATGATAAACGGCCGCCACATCTATTTCATCGGGCTCCCTATTAGGTTTGACAAATGAGCAAACGATAATTATTTAAAAACACAAAACAAAAACATAAATATATTCAATATTACTTACCTTATGATACGCAGACACAGATCAGTCACAATGCGGGCATGCTTGACGATGCTGGTGTGGCGGCGATTATACTGCTCCGCATTAGTGGCCAAATATCGGACATCAAACTGAGCCGAAGTGATGCGACGGTAGAAATGGTTCTCGAAACGTGACTTGACAGTCGTTAAATCGATGGGATATTCAATTAAATACGCATAGTCTGGATATATGTTGAGGTCGACTGGCGCCAGAAAGTGTTCCGCTATTGATAAACGCATCACCTGAAAAAAATAAAAGCAAATTGAGCAATAATTAATATATAATCATTTAATATTATTTTCATAAATAGTTTCTATTATTCTCTAATAAATAGTAGGCAGGGAGAACCGATGCTATATTTTGCTATGAATAGAATGGTTAGTCTCCAGTCGAAACTTATGCGAAATACATCGGAAAGCATTAAAATAATTAATTTCATTTTTTTTATCGTCTGTATTCCTATTTACAAAGTACTGCATATTTATTTTGAAGAAGCTTTCCTACAGTATTCTTTGCTTAAAATATTTTTGATTTGGTTGTTGAATTTAAGAAATCTAAAAGTCTATCATCCTTCTTTTATTAACAAATGTTCTGCTGTTAGCTGTTTATAGTGTCTTAATTTTAGGCACTCACCTGCTCGAGACCATTGATTATGCGCCGACAAGTGCCGTCGCGATCGCCCCGATGCCACTCCTCGGACTTGGGTTGGTATAGCGTGGCGCGTATCTCTTCTGGCAGCACGGGCACAGCGCCGCCCACTTCATCTGGCAGACGCTGTTCATCGATGGGCTCCATATCCCAGGGACTCATATATTCGTACTCGCCATTGTCCCAGCGCACACGGAAACACATGAAAAATGAGTCTGGAAAATCGGCGCTGAGTGCATGACGCGACTCAATCTGACCCATCCACCATCCGTCCCCGATCATACAACGAAAGCGATCGCCGATATTCCAATTGCGCTGCACCGCCAAATCGAAAGTCTGGCGGAGTACCAGAAAGTCCAGTACGTCGGGCATGTCATGATACTTGATCTTAAATGTAGTGCCCGTCATGTTTCCCTCGTCATCGATGATGGCCAACTTGAGGCAGCACAAACGCGGCGGACGAATCTCGTATTTAATGCCAATCACACGAACTAATTCATGATCACGCAGTGTACGAAAGTTCCAAGGCTCAGAGCTGTGCGATAGCTTGTAGACCTTCTTGAGACGAACCGCCTCCAGATAACGCTGATGACCTTGGCGGAAATAGACAATCTCATCGCCCATTTGAGGATAGTACGGTGCCTTGCGTGGTATCACTTCCGAAAGCCACTCGGCTGGACGGTAAAGCTCTGGAATTTCGCCATTTGGCGCCGTCGGTGGTATTAGCACTCGCTTGCGGCCACGCTTTTTGCTGGAAGCAGCTGCCGTTGCGTCATCACTACTGTCATCACTCATGGTTCGACGGCGAGAGAGTGGTTTGCGCTTGGAGCGCTTAGGTGGCTCGAGATTTGGGCCGGGCGTATCGGCTACCCAGTCTGAATAATCGGAGCTATCCGTATCAGATTCATCACTGCTATCCTCTAGATTCTCTTCAACATTCGAGTAACTAGTATCCCCGGAACTGTTGCTGCTATCGTCATCTTCCTCTTCCTCATGTGGGGCGGCCACAGCTGCATCTTCATAGTGGTCCTCCTCCTGGTCGCGCACAGCACGAGTCCGGTATGCAGGCTGTTGCCCTCCTTGCTGCTGACCAGACTGAGCTCCACGCCTACGTCCAGGCCTTCCGCCCCCATTAGATCGTGTGTTCCGTGGCCTGCCAACTCCAGCCTGCAATGCAGATGCTGCACTGGCCGTGTTTATCATGATAGGGCGACGTCGCATCTCACGTTTATATTCTTGCATTTCGAATTGGCCAGCGGAATATATGGTCTGCTTGAGGTTCTGTAGCTGCGCATATTTCATGGGACGAACATAAGTGCGACGCACGAATTTGAATGGCATTGCCTGTTGAGCAGGTAGCACATTATGCAGTGGCTCAGCTTGCGCCTGTTCTCCCGCAGCAGGCGCCGGTGCTGCTGGCAACGCCGCAGCCCAACCCTGACGAGGAGCGCCTTCGGTTATCGAACGACGTCCGCCTAGCACGTTTCCACGTGGCGTGGCATTACGCGAAGAATTCGAGTCGGGCAATTGATCCTGTCCTTGGCGCATGATTAGTCGCTCGAATGATTGATTCAAAACGTTGCCATCGTTGGCATTGGCATTATTAACGTTGTTGCCTTGTCGGTTGGCCAGTGCTGCGATCATGCGATCGATATGCGAGTAATTACCGCCTGGTCCCACTCCTGCTGCTCCAGCTCCGACTCCACCAGCTGCAGGTGCAGGAGGTAGAGCAGCAGCATTCGGTGGTGCATTTATATTATCCTCAATGACAATACCATCGATGCCCACAGTCAAATTGGGTATTAATTGATCCATACTACACCGTTCACGGCCAGGAACAAACCGCTGATATTTAGTCGGATGTGGATTACCATCAGCATCAACCAGAAATGGTGGTGGCATTAAATGTGGCATTATTTGTGTTTGCTCATCCACGACGTGATGATGTGCATCACGAATCAGAGGACGAAAGTCCGTGTGGAAAAACAGCTCTGTGGGTAGCTAAAAAGAAAAGACCATTAATATCCAACAACTTGGGATTTTTGTTCCAAATTTTCACATACTAATTTGTACTTTTCGGTGCCAATGCCGAGGCCAAAGATCAACATATGACCATGCGAGTCAGTCGCAGCTATCATTGTACCATCCGGTGACCATTTGGCATCAAATACGCTACCATGACCTTGGCCATCGATGTCATTAAAAAACTGAGCCACGCACACACCCTGCTCAATGTCCCACAGAAATACCTGGCCATCGTGGCCGGCCGAAAGCAGCACATGCTCATCCCTTGGATTCGACTCAAGCACATACAGTTCATCCTTGTGACCACGGAGCACGCGATGCAGCTTAGCGGATTTTGAGTCCCAGATTTTAATCTAATGAACAAAGAGAAGTATAAGTTTATATGGCAATTATATCATTTGGTACATATACGCACTGTAAAATCATTGACAGCAGTTATAACATAACGATCTGAGGCATCCCAGGCGACCATGGTAACCTTTAGTTTCTTGCCCTCCTCTGGTTCTGGACAACTGGAAGATAAGGAAACCGATTAATTTAAATAATTTATTTTTTCTTTGTTTGCACCTAGAATTTTTACCTGGGCAGTCGCTCGGTCATGCATAGTTTAGTGCTTTTCCACTGTTGCGACTCAAATGTCCAAATGTGAGCTGTACCATCTTTGCTGCCCGATATGAAACGTAAGCCGCGATGCGACCACTGCACCGAATCGACTGCGTCTGTGTAAGCTTCTATTTCTAGGATGCGCTTGGGCCCGTCTTCGGCCATCATGTAGACGCGCACATGATGATCCGCAGAGCCAGCTGCTAAAAACATGCCACCTGGCGAGAAAGTTGTGCACATCATTTGAGCCTGTCCCGGCCTTAGCTTTTCGTGATATTGGGTGGGCCTCGGAGCGAAGGTTATTTTTTGTCCGCGCGGTGTCGAATACTGCCAGAAGGCAATGGAGCCATCTGTGCTGGTTGTCACTAAATATTTGAGATCGCTGCGTGGTGAGGGACAAAAGTTAACCGAGGTTATCATGCCCGTGTGGGCGGCAAGAACTGCTATCGGTGAAGTGGTTTGCATGTCCCAGACGCGTAAAATGCGATCCACTGAGCCAGCAGCCAACATTGTATTATCCAAGTTGATAGCAATGTCAGTTATTTCAGCGGAGGCTCCGCGCAGCGTAGCCAACAGACGCCCATCCGCCGCAGACCATATCTTGATGAGCAAATCATCGGCGCCAGTGATTATATACCGGCCAGTGCGATCAAAAAGCACACAATACACCGAGGAAAGATGGCCAATTGTACGCCGCAACAACTTGGTCTTGCGGTAGAGATCTGTGGGCACCAGCAGCTTGCGACGAACCAACCCGCCATGTTCTCGTCCGAAGAGTACCTTGGCTAAAAGTTGAATTAGCATATACTTATTTTTTTTTTTTAATCTTGTTAGTACTTACTTAAATTGTGTACGGGCTTGGTGAGGGCTGAGTCCGGCAGTGATGTGCCATGCAGACGTGTGCAGTAATCCCGTAGAGTACGATGTTTGTATACGGTGTCTTTTGTGCGCAACAAATTTTGTCGGCCAGTACCAAGCAATGAGTTTATTCCTGGCACGCTCGGCGCCAACTCTTTGTCGACTAACGGACCAAGACGGCTGCATATTTCTAGCAGATGATTCGGCCCAATATGCGCGTATTTTTGTTCCTACAAAAATTTGAAAATGAACGATGTATCGATATCGATAACTCAGTAGTGCGCAGCTGTTCGGACCGCAAGTACCTTCAGCCGTCTCGCTCTAACCTTGAGACATGCATATGCTAAGCAATATATATGTACATATACACACACACTCATGCACACATCACTGTATTGAAAGCAAGATGTCGGCCATTGACAGATTGTTATTAAAATTACTATGTAATTGTAATTAATTTATCTAATTTTTCAAAATTTTATGCACTGAACTTAAATATGTAATATTTTTAGACCAGTATGACTTTTCATTTATAACTTACAATTATGATTGCCAAATGTTGTTTAATTAATTAATTAATATATTTAAATAATATTGTATATGTTGCATTAAACTAATTTCCATTATTTGCAAAAAAATTAATAGTATAACACAAGTGTCTATTCAATCAATCGATGGCCATGTGACGTCACAAAGCGCATACGCACAAACACACACGAACGCAAATAGTCGAACAAAAATGCGAAGACGTAGAGTGAACACTAATTTCAATTATGCAAGCACAAATCACAAATTTTGACAAATAAACACAATAAATTACAACAATAACTCACCAATTCAGCAAATGTCTGTTCATGCTCATTGCCCAGCCAGTCAATGCGTCGGGGCAGAACCTGGGGACGATAGAAGAAGCGGCACTCAAAATTTGTTATCACTTGCACTTGCTGGGCATCAAAATAATGACGTCGCCGTTGCTGCTGCCCGCCACAGCCGGGAGCCTACTTTTTTACCTACTTTTGCTAAACGGACAAACGGCGGTATAGACAGACGGACTTCTCCCGTACGTTATACGATTCAGTTCAATTTCAGTATAGCTTTGAACTCTGAAATAAGCAGACGGTGTAGGCTGCTGCCGGCTGCGCTACAACAACAACAGCAACAACGACGACGACAAAACCAAAACAATATATATATAAACAAACGCTCGAGTTTCTGCATTAAAAATTGCATATCAGAGGAAAGTCCTCAGGAAAAACATGTCAGTTTAATGCGTCACCTCAGAGCGACCCACACACATATACACTTACCTTCTTTTTCTCTAATTCTTGCACCAGAACCTGAAAATTGATATTTGGAAATCGGGTTAGTAAAATGTTTGTAAACAAAAGCGAAATTCAAACGAAGAAATTGCGCTCTTTTTTCGGGGCGGCGCTTAGTAAAATTCCAGATCACTAACCTTTGCCGTCTCTTCCAGGGGCCCCGCAGTGAGAAATTTCGAAATTAGGAAGTACAATTCTGCAATTGAAACAGTGGGGTATACATTAAATGCAACAAGTTGTTTGCTAAAAGCGCATAATTATCATAAAATTGCATTTATTTCGATGCGGCCATTCGCGCAGATTCTGCACTCACACGGGCCCAGGGCACTGAGGCTGAGGCCAGCCAGCCAGCCAGAGGTAGCGTACCTCTTGGCTGGGGCCAAATAGACGCCATATTTGTTCAAATTCACAAAGTTTGATAATACAACGCACCTGGCACTATCACATCATTTAAACTGGGCTGCCTGTTTTCCATTATTACACATTTTATTACGAAATTAGAAAAATTGTCGCACTAAAACTCGACTGAAATACTTTTTTCAGCTTCTTCTTCTGTCAGACTACGAACTGCCATTCAGGCGACTGCGTTAGCAAAGTCAATGCGAGTGTTTTCACCTTTTCAGAATTCAGTATGTTAAGTAACATGAATGTACATAATTTGGTATTATTTAAATGTTCAGTTTTGGTCACATTGACTTGGTGCTGCAGTTGCTAGAAAATAATATTTCTTGTAGGTTTTTTATTTTTCTCAATGTTGTAATACTTCGGCATATAGGAACTGACCGCACATTGAAGTCACACAATATTTCAACAGTATATTCGCCAAAATGGATTGCAATCTAGGCAGCGAAATTGGTCAGAAGATGCGCGTAAGTTTAACTTTTTCTATTCGCGAAAAATCAATGAACTCGTAATCAACTCTGTTTTATTTCACAATTTATAAAATGCTGCAGAGCGCCGTGAAGGCGAAATTGCTCGAATTGGGCACCGGTGGCTCTGCCGGCTTCATTGACGACGAACTGCCAGACTACGTGATGGTAATGGTAGCGAACAAACGCACCAAACAGCAAATGAATGCTGAGCTAAATCTATTCCTCGGCGATCAAACGGATCTCTTTGTTACTTGGCTGCACGAAGTTCTTCAGAAGCTGCAGGAAGTAACATTGCCAGCCCCGACTTGTGAGTTATTTACACCGTTTTTAGTCTGAATATTTATTCCAATTCTTGTGCTTACTTAGCGAGCAGCAAAAAACGTAAGTCCCGTCAAGCAGAAGTGCCTAAAGCAAAGGATAAAGATAAGGACAAGGAGAAGGATAAAAGAGCCAAGGATAAACGAGATAAAAGGGCACATAGAAAATCGGGCGATGACCTGGCTCAAACAACGGCTGATGTTTTGCCAAGAACTGACCACATGGCACCAATTAGTTCCATAACGGATGTTTTTGCTGAGGAACTCCTGGAAAAAGCCAAAAAGACGCTCGATATCGATGGCACCCTGAAGGACGAGCTATTGCTCAAAAAGAAAAAACGTAGAGCTGTCGAAGATGATGAGCAACCACAGCCTCAGTCACAGCCACAGACAAAAGATCCACACCCGGCACCAAAAGACTTTGATTTACCCACAATGTCGGAGATAAGCTCAACTACAACAAGCGGAAATCGGGAGAAGGATATAGCCGAATTGGCTGAAATACAGCGAAAAATTTACGCGGCAAAGCAGCAACTGCGTCAAATTGGTGAACTGGACGATGAAACTGACGATGAGGAACCCCAGCCACCAGTCGAGTATACACCAAGTTTAACCGAGCCGAAGAAAGCTGTTGTCAACAGCTCGGCTCCAGTTGCAGAAGTCAACTCAAACTCAGCCAACACGAGCACTCGCAGACCAAAGAGTCCCATTGTGTTCAACAGGACGCCCGAGCCGGTGGTAGCTAGAGAAAAACCAAAAGCCCAAACTGAAGTAGAAGCACAGCAAAAGCCGAGTGACGAACACTTAGAGCGTCGCTCGGTGCACGAGCGGTTGGGATGCAAACCCCAGGCGCCACAACCGCCACAACTCTCGGATCGTCCACAGCGAGCACAAAAAGAGGTCAAACTTTACGTCCCGGCCCATCGTCGACGCAGCGAGCAAGAGCCAGAAGAGAGTAAGAAATTAGATCGTAGCAGAGAGCGCAGGGAACGTAACGAGGGTCAGACAACTCATCGGCGAGATCGGGAGCGCGAAACCCTACACCGACGACGTTCACCCAGTCGAAGCCCAAAGAGCAACAACTATAAGCATCGAATTGGGTCACGTGTTATCGTGGCAGCTAATAAACCGCCGGAGCCATCCGATGATGAGGACTTGCTGGAGAAGCCCGTTAATTCGGTTATCAAGATCAAGCCACGGCCACATGTCTCACCACGTCGCCAGGCTTGTAAGAATTTGCTTTTGCGAGCTGTTGCCGATGCCCAACGATCGACAATTTTGGCCAAAACATCGACAAGTTCTAGTGGGTCCAAGCATCGAGGCAACGAGGATGAGCCAGAGATCATCAGCTCAACACTGGGTAAGCGACGCTCAACTGATTCAGCAGGCGACCGCCCTGGACGAGAGCTCTTCCGAAGCAGCAGGAGAGAGCTCGTTGTGAATGTGCTGCACAGGGATCGCAAGCGAATGCGTCATTCAGTCGAGCCTCTCTCGCAGGAAAATCTGGGTGCAAAAGACGAGGTGGAAGAGGAGGAGTATGTGCCTAGCCTAAGCGTTGGCGACTATGAGGCTTATGTGCCGCAGGTAGTGCACAACACAAAGGAATCGGACATCGATATTGACATGCACGTAGACAAAGATGTGGTCAGCGTTGGGTGCTCATCCGCTGCTGTACCTAAAACTCAGTTTGTAGTGACGCTGAATGGTGATAAATCTCTAGGAAACGCGGCCGCTGCAGCCTATCGAAAGCGTCCACGCAAACGTACACCCTCGCCTCAGGTGTCCTCGACCAGTTCGGCAACACTGCAGCTAGCGAGCGTTGAGCCAACCTCAACCATCTGCACTGCGACTTCCTCAACCAATAGCAACAATAGACAGAACAAAGCAAAGCGAGCTCGCAGCAACTCGCGGTCATCACCTTCCACTTCGAGCAATACGCCGCCACCAAAGCCATCGCGGAGCCTGCGTCGGAGTGAGGTGCTGCGACAAACGCAGGAAATCAAAAAGATCATCATCAAGAACGACGCTGATGATGATGACGACGACGAGCAGCTGCCTGCATCACCGCGAAAACGTTCATCCAGCAAGCGGCGAAGCAGCTCCTCCAACCAGGCCGCCTTCTCATCGAATGACCATAAATCGGATTTGAAAGTGCAGCTGGAGGAAAACAATCGATCAACGACGCCACCACTACCTCCGAAGCTGTTGGAAAAACGAAACATTGGCCGGGAGAAATCATCGAATGCGACAAATACGAATTCGACCACTGTAGAAACGGTTTCTAAGGCAAAACATACACCTATTCGCTTCAAGATTAAGCCAGAAGAGGAGCAGCAGCCGCAGAAAAAACGTCGTTCGGGCAGTAAAGATCGTGAATCCTCCATGGAGCGACGTCGAATCTCAATACGAAATGCAGAAGATCGAAAATACGACAATTTACCGACACGTAAGTATATTCTATTAATAAATTATACGCTGTTATCGATGTAGATAGACATCCCCTTAGCTTCCCAGCACCTCTTTTAAATATATATCTATAATACTTTAATTTATCATCCCTCAGAGCGCAGAAATAGAGCATACAAATTTTAATTCCCATGAAAGAACTAAAAGAATTGTCTGAAGAGTGCCAAAAAAATAATAAAAAAAAATATATATATATTATATATACATATAAATATTGATGCAAGAATTATTTAATATTTGGTAACTATTGCTGTTTAATGACTAGTTACAGGATCAAGCCCAAGCACACTGCTAGATATATACGTTATGCTGCTAGAAAAATGTTACCTAATGAAATTGATAATGTAAAATGTTAAATTTATAACATTACATAGATAATTATTTTCCGAAGAATTACCTAACCATTCAACTAGATTAATGTAAGCAATATATTTATGCAGACCTATGGGTGCATTCCATAGCCACTAAAACTCTATCTCGTTTCTCATGTTTTCCATAGTAAGTGCTGTCAGCGTGGACTCAACCGTGTTAAAGGTGGCCAAGCCAAAGGAGCGCTGCAAGTATCATCCCAATTGCAACAAGCAATTCTGCGAGTATTATCACCCGTCGGCGCCTTGCAAGTCCTTCCCGAACTGCAAATTCGCAGACAAGTGCATGTACTCTCATCCCAAATGTAAGTTCGACCTGGCCTGTATGAGCGTCGACTGCAACTTTGCTCACAGCGGACCGCGTGATCTCAGCCACGTGCAGCTAACTGTACCGCCTCTCTGTAAGTGAAAAGGGTTACCCATGTTCATTTCAATTCCATTGATCAATAAATATATTTATATGTGTTTCCATTTTCAGCGTCGCATGTGATTCCTGTGCAAAACTACAAATCAATATCCGCACCGGTGACAGCGACTACAGCAACGACCATGTGCAAGTACTATCCTAACTGCACAAAAGCCGGCTGCACCTTCTATCATCCGAAGCCGTGTCGTTACGGCAAGAATTGCATCAATAAGCTCGAATGCATATTCTATCATCCGGAAATGCAAAGCAAATTTAAATGGGTCGCTTCGCTTGGCTGAGGACAACAGTTCGGGCGGATGGAGCAGGTCCTTATTATTAGCATTTAACGTTAGGAACCGGATCATATTATCATTAGCCACAGCCCATGTTTTTATGTAAACACTTGCATTATTAGGCACTACTCGACTGCAATTTCGATCGAGCCGAATCGGCTAAGAAGAACGGCTCGCACACGTCCCACTATTTAGCATTTATCATATAGAAAGAATTACAAACTATTTTAATTGTGTTTCTCTCCATCCTATCAATAATATGGAAAATAACAAAAACTATTTTTGAATAGGACAAATTTGCTCAGATTCGTTTATATTAATTTATGAATTTTGTTTTGCCTACCGTTAACATATTACGTATTTCGTAAATTGGGTATTCGAATGTGAAAAGAAGACCCCAATATTTGAATATTCCCATTGTTGTCGATAGAAACACCTTGAGTTAGATGAAAAGGCAAAGTAGTCTACATCAAAACTGTAATCGTCATATAAGCTGGTGAATAAAATTTAGCAATAAACTTGCTATACATTGGATATCAAAATTTGTTTTTTTTTTTTCCAACAGTACTCAAATTGATATTCATTTTTAATCTGCTGGTAAATATTGGTGTACAAAAATTATTCATCCTAGAAACATTTTAAATATGCAATCAACTAGAATTCGCATTCAAAAAAATCAATAAATAAATACAAATTATGCCAGAGCCCTGCCTTTAAGATTAGAAATACAAGTATCTTCAAATTGGAATATGCTGAAATTTTTAAACCTTATAGATCTTGCGCTATTAACAAAAATAAAAATGCACGTCTTCCAGACTTACTGAAAATTTAAATTAATAAAATTTGAATTCATATAAAAAATCATTTGTAATTTAAATTTTATCTTTTATTTTATTGGTTTTTTTTTTTTTTTTTTTTTTTTTTTTTTTAAAAA